AGAGAGAGAGAGAGAGAGAGGACTTTTAAAACTATATTGCCATGCAAACCAGAAAGGACCAGTATAAACCAGAAAGGACCAACTTGCAATCATTCTGCATTTTATATGTAACTGCAACATGACTAGACCAAGGTGGCAGTTTTTTTACATATTTTTCCCACTATGCTAGAGACATGAAATGTGTGTGTAATATATGTACTCTCACACATACTGTGCTCCGATTAAAAAGAAAGCAACAATTAACACTCCTTGTGGAAGAGTTCCACAGCAAGGAAGCCAAAAATATCCTCTCTTTGGCTACGACTTAAATTTTCTCCATGGCATTTAATGGAGACATTCAGTATCCATGGTACTGAGCATGTGAAGGTACTATCTAGATTCTAGAACATGCAGATTGCCCCCTTGCCCCATGTGCTGATATGCTACTGGCCGTGCTCTCAGGAAAGACGGTGTTGATGTGAACAGCATAAACACAGTTTGTATTCATTGTCATAAAAGTTCTACTCAGGCATTCAGTACCTGTCGGTGCCTGTGATGCAGTGGGGCCAGGGCTTGCAGAGATGTAGCACCAACACATTTTGATTAGCAGGGATGCTGACATCTGCCACCCTCCTCAGAATTGCCTGCTCCCACTGACTTTGGCTGCAATCCTCATAGTAGCTTTGGGGAAATCATGTCCTTGGCAGCAATGCATTGGTTGCTAGTGTAATGCCTGGTCTAGAAAGGGGAATTAAGAGCCAGAAGCTTTTTACTTTCTGGTGAGGATGAAAGCTGCTAGAACTGCTTTGTTAATGTGGATTAAAACCACTGGCCGAATCTGAACTTTCTTTGGACATCTCACTGTTGGACCTGTCCAGGTGAGCACCTGTATTTCCATATTCTAGGACCAGCAGAGTGTCCACTGGGCCACAGCACACACCCTTTTACATAAGTGCTCCAAGACTTGTTGTCAGTTATGACACCCTTCAGTTTTACTGCTTTTGCTGTAATGTTTACATTTATTTATTGTTTTATACTGTTTTTCTATTGTATGTGTTTTTATGCCACCCACATGGAAAACCTGGGATACCAAGCAGTCATAGAAGTAGCTTATGTAAAATCATTCATGAATATTTACCACTGAACCACTGTTGGATTCTGAGTGCATAAAGGAATCATTTAGGTCCCAAATACGAGGAATATGCTTCAACCACACAGTCCAAGCATGTGAGACTTCTATCTGTCTGAACGGAGCTTACCCAAATTTGAATTATGTGAGCAAGGCCAACTATTTGGGGGCGGGGGAGAGAATGTATCTGCTTTCCCATAGCCATGAGTCTGACTTCCTGGTGAAGTCACAGAATATTCACTTGGTACTCACTAGGAATTAAGCCCTTTGTGATCACTTGCAAGCAGCATCCTGCTTCCACAAACATTTTCAGCTTTTGTTTCCAGTGTAAGTGATGTGGAAGAATGTTGCCCATTATGCAGCCAGGCTTCCACAAGCATTCAGACTGCCCTCTCAGCTTGGCTCATTTTCTAAGTCAAGGTCAAGCATGATAGAAAGTCCACCAAAAAAGAAGAGGGATGGATTCCGCAGAACCTCATTGCAACCCAAGCATAACTGCTTATTCAGGGATAGGAACCCTGGTCCATCAGCATTTCCATATGTCCACACTTTCACTCATAGATCCATGGTCCTCCCTATGGCTGATGTCAAGCATGCATTGCCAGGATGAATGCAAGCATGGCAGCAGCTAAAACATAGCTGAATGGGGCTGAATTATTCTGACTTCGATAACCCCAGATAAAGTAGCTTAAATGCTTAACTGTAAATGAAATCCAAGTTTTAATTTTCAGCTTCAATTTCTGGCAGTTTTGTGACCTATCACACCTACCTTTGGCAGTTTGGTGCTCCTAAATGCAAGGACATTTTCTTTTTCTTTGTAAGGTTGCTGTCATAACAAACATAGGGGAGAATATTTCAAGCTCCACACTCAACTCCTGCTTCACCAGCTATTAAAGGACTCTAAGGAGGAGAATTGATCCTGTACTGGACTATAGAGCCAAAAGACTGAGCCTACCAGCATCGACTCTCCAGCAGTGTCACAAAGCGTTTTGCTATGGTGAAAGGTTGAGCTGCATCTCAGGAAAATACATAAAACAACAGCATCTATTTTGTTCTTTACTATGCATACTGTATAGGTAGATATGCCTGAAAATATACATTTATTCTAGCCAAGTTTATCTCATAAATTCAGTGTGATAATGAGATAATTGGTGGCATAACAACAATTGCTACCCTGAAAAGCCTTTAAAAATTCTACACTTTTGAACTTTGCTTTAAATCTTCTGACAATTTTTATAATTAGCACTTTATATATAATTTCAAAATTACCCCTACTCTGTCAAACCAAAGCGCCATGTGCTAGAATTGGAGCTAATGGTGCCAACACCTTTGAAAGTGCAGAATGGCCATGTTTTGTTGCTGTTTTTGTTAAAACTTGCCTTAAGTTTAGCTGTACTGGCTATATTTTTTGTACCAGATCAGTTAGATGTTCTTTCAGGGTGATGGATTACTGTGTGTTCCGTAATCCATACTCTGAGCTTCCAAAGACGAAGGCTTGTATTCAGGCCTTTTTCCCAACAGTGAAAAGGAGAGGAGATTTGTACTAATTCCCTTCTCTTCCAGTGGCTGCTTACACCTGAAAATCTACTCTGAGAGACACCTTCTATGGATAGAGAGCCCTTCAGTACACAGAACGCCAAATCTAGATTCATGTGTATCATGGCCATAGATGTCCTAAAGTGGCAATCATGCAGTTTAAGACATATCCTCTATTTTTATCCTTAAGATATAAGGGTTTATATATAAAACATGCTATATCAAATAGTTCCATGTATCAGAGCTCAGCTTTCGTTATATCACCAAGTGCACATTTTTGTTTGTAATGTTTTCTCCAGTATTTTATGTGAATATACTGGATCCATGCTTTTGGAAGCAAAATGCCATTGATTTGATGGAAAGCTTTTGATCAACGAATTTCTGGTAACATGTGAATTGGACATTTCTTTTTGGAAAAGTCAGATTTGCAATCTGCAGTACACATGTAATGTGATGAGATTTTCTTTTCTTTGCATCAATAGAGATCCCCATTGACTTCTACCAGTCACTGGGCAATCTAGTGTAACTAGACACTAATGTACAAATAATGCACCTTTTCTTCTGTATCTTTGATGATGAAAATGAGCTTCCTTCATTGATTTTTTTCCATACTTCCCTCACTACTCAAGACATTAGGTGTTAATAGATAGCACTTTCTTTATACAAGGAAATAGATGTGTGTTCAAAGATCTCCCCATTTGCTGAATCATTACTTCATACATGTGGTGATTAGAGCTAGATCTACTTACTACCAAACTTTATCAAGGACAGGATCCTTACCGCATCTTGACTTTATTTCCCTGGGAGCTCTTTATAAGCAGTGGTCTGTCAAGAACTATCTTCTTAAAGAACATAATTATAATTTCGCATTAGCATCTCCCCTACTCTATTACAAATGGAGTAGCTAAAAGAGACAAGGAAGCATATTATCAATTGAGGATTTCAGCAAATTGCTATTCGTTAATAGAAGATAATGTGGCTTCCTAATGAATGTTATTTGGGTGCAATTCATGATCATAAGAGAAGGCTCTCTTCTAGGAAATTAAGCCAACAGCATCTTTAAAGCTAACACCAAGCATTCCAAATAGAGTTGAGTTCATATCAAAGCTCTTTTCCTATTTTATCACAAAGCCAAAATGCAGTAGAAGCTTCATCATGTTTGAGATGTCATTCCAGCAATACTAAAGAACAAGAAGTCATGGTGACTTCATCTCAGTGAGTCCTATTGCACCTTATCATTCAGAAGTCACTTTTGTTGTGAGTTACGTCAGACTGCCTCTAAGACTGCCACTCCAGTCCAGACTTTGATTACCTGTTAATCCAACATTCCTCCAGCCAATTGTCCTCCAGATGTTGTGGACTGCAACTCACAGTATTCCTAACCATTGATCATCTCACTAGGCCTAGTGGGAATCCTACTCTGAAAATATCCGGAGGGTGTCAGGTTGAGGAAGCCTGTGTTGTTACTTGGAGAATATTCCTTTTCCTTTCTTTCAGAATAGTGCCAGAGAAACCACAGCAAAGAAAGAAAGAAAGAAAGAAAGAAAGAAAGAAAGAAAGAAAGAAAAGAAAAGAAAAGAAAAGAAAGAAAATACTCTTAATCCAGTTATCTGTCATAGACACATAATCCCAGCATTTAAAAACTACTACCAGATATTTTTAGATCAGCGTTCTACATTATTAGGGTAGCTGTTGAGAATGCCTCTGTGAACTTTTAATGAAAAGTTAGGGTGAGGATTCTATATTCATGCATGTTCATGGCTGGAATTAGAGGTTGTAGTGAAGCAAATATAGTAGCTGTTCTGTAATGAGAGAAGTCCTCAAGATGAATATATGTATTAAAATTGCTTTGAAATGTAGTTGCAAGAATAGGTGATGTGTGTGCATGTCTATATGTGTGCATGCACATATGGATAAAATACAGGTGTATCATATGAGGTAATCACATAGCCTGTGTGTTTGAAATATCTCGACACCCTAATTTGTTCTCACTTTAAATATCATACATCCATGCTGGTATTTCTCATGGGCATGAGAGAAATTATCCCACACCCATTTGTTAGAGAACATACATTTGGGGAAAAAAACAAATAAACAACAACTGATGATTACAAAGCCAGAAGCAAAATTCCTTCATCCAGCTGCACTGGGAAGCCAATTATAAGCCAGCATTAACCATAGGATGTTAATAGTCTCTTCATCCCTGTATTATTAAACATGCCCTTTTCTTAAGAAAAACATTTGGCTTGGCTGAGTGCTAAATTATATGCTGCTTTTTCCTAGCCCACTTCACTATGTTAAAATACCTGGAGGCATTGGCTATTTCATAAACATGCTGCTGCTGTTTATTTTGCAGGCTCTACCTGAGGGGCAGACGGCATCCTGGGATACAGCCAAAGAAGATGAAAACCGCAATAAGAATAGATATGGCAACATCATCTCCTGTAGGTGCAAATTCAAACTGAACTGAACTTCCTGTGTGTATCTGTAAGCATCTAGCAGAGAGGGAGTATGTCTGAAAGTGTAACTGAAAAACAGAAGAACAAGAAGCATAAAAACTCGCAGTACTTAGCATTTTTTAACATTTCTATTGGATAATTTTAAGCTCAATTTCCATGCTTCTCTTCATTTTTTTCTAATTTTCTACTTGAGACAGTCATTTCTGCCCATAGCAGCAAGAAACACCCTTCTGGCATTAATCTGGTATAAGCTTTTATCAATATAGCCTATTTCCTCAGATGCAAGGAATGTTAGAGAAAATTTCAAGTTTATATGTGGTATTTGGTGTGTGTGCAGGGAGGTGAAAAATGTCAACAGTAGGGCAAAAGGAAATTACAGCAAGTATTGAGAGTGACAATTACATTATTAGCTGCAGTTATTCACAGTGTAGTAGCTGCTGATATCCCAAACACTCTGGCACTAGATAAGCCAATTAACACATGCAGTATAACAATCCTTTATTCTGATTCAAGCCTCTGGTGATAGAAATGCATCTGTTGAAGAATTCATCAACATGATTATTTGTCTCACCAGAGACTTAACTGGGATAAAGGATTTTTTTTCTTTTATCACACCACAAGTGTTAATTGGCTACTACACTGTGAATGATCGTTGTTAATAACGTGCTTGTCACTTCAGTACTTTCTGCATTTAACTTCCTTCCTCAGCTGCGTACAATTCTCTCTCCTGTGTGAAGCTGTAGAGAAGCAGAAACACTCTCTAAGCTCCATGTGTCTGATGAAGCAGGCTATAAGCCATCAACATTTATAATGTGCTAGCCTCAAAAGTGACACACAACTTCCTGTTGTGTTTGTTGCAGCAGACAATCATAGCAACCCTATGGATTTCTCTCAGGGAAATGAGTGGACTCATTGGACTCTAGTTCTCCCCTAACTTGCCTCTTAAACATGTGTATTGGTCACCCTTTCCTATCCTGCTCCCCTCCAGCTGTTTCACTTCAATTTCCACCAGGCCCAGCTAGCATGGCCAGTGGCCAGGAATGCTGGGAGTTATAGTTTAAAACATTTGGAAGATAGCAGATTAGGGAAGACTATTACAGGATATTTGTGAAAAAATCTAGGAAAATAATGCTTGCACAGTTGCAGTCTCTTTGCTTGACCTATACATACATGTTCAGAAAAATCTGGGGAAGAGTCCTGCACACATGCAGCTCTTCATGCAAACAGAATAGTCAGCCCTCTTGCTTGCCTATGGAGGGTTTTATGTGGAGAGCTATGTTTACATATTTACTGGATGTGCATAAGTTGAAAGATGTTAAAGAAGGATGCAACTCTGTTCCAGATCTTAGAAGACAGTTTGAGGCATTAAGCTTCTAGTTAGCAGGTTGTGGGACAAGGAATATGGCACCCTCCAAAGATCAGGTAGTTTCCCCTTCATTATTCCTATTTCCAGACCACCACCTCCTGCCATTTAATTGGCCATGAATCTTTCTTTGAAGCAAACTTGAAATGACTTCCCCTGCCAGGGAGCACCAAGGATGCATACCTACTTTCACCATTTGTTGCCATTATCTGTATATACTGGAAGCTAATACTTGTGACAAACATGTCTAACTGTGCAGCTCATCATGCTTAAAGTGTCTTGCCCGCGAGGGACAGGTTTATCACCTAGCTGCAGATAAACAGTGAGCAGAAAATCTCTGGGTACTAATCACATCCACTATTTTGTCTTCCTTGCTGTGGATTATGTCTGAAAAAGCACAGGACATCTGCAAATACCAGGTGGAAAGTAATGATCCTCAAGGAATAAACTTGAGTGAGCTCATCAGAGAGGACTCAAGAAGAATTTGAAACTTAAGATGACTTAAAAAGTGCAGGAAGGAAACTTCATGCTAAGAGAGCTGTTAGATTGTATACAAAAGGGCTTGAATGCTTTGATTAGTTGCACCAAAAGGGGTATTTTGGTATTTGTAGTTTTACATGTTAAAGCACCACTGGAAAAGGAGGTACCACAATTCCTGAACTCACTGCCTCTGAGGTTATTGAAGAATGGAAGCCTTTGTTTTCCATGCTGAATGTGGTTGTCCTAGCAGAGAGTAAAAAGTTAACTGGCCCTTGCACAACTCATGGAGAACTATGCCTTAATCCTCCAGATGAACTATGCCTCCAGATGTTTATGGAGCCCACCATTTGCCTGCTCCACAATGGAAAGGCTCTGAATCAGAGCTCCACATAGCCATTGGTATATAACACTGCTTTAGACTACAGGTTGTGTCTGGTATTGATATGTATGACATTCTTTTATGTATATGAGATTCTTTTAACATCAGTATGACAATTAGTATCCCTGATCCAGTTTGTGATCTAGTAGTTCTTCATGCATGGGCACTTAGCAGCAGCTGCTTTACACAAAGCTTCACAAGCAACATCCTTGGAACTTCCTTGAAATGCAGCAAACATTTCCAAGATTTCAAAAGCAGCAGCTGCTAAAAGGTTTCCTTCTGTCTAGGGTAATAAGAGAACCATTGCGGTGTCGTGCTTAGAGTGTTGGACTAGAGATCCAGGAATTCTGGGTTCTGATCCCCACTTGACCTTGAAGCTCACTGGGTTCCTTTGGGCCAGTCACTCATTCTCAGCCTAACCTACCTCATGAAATGGAGCTATATAAGCTGCTGAGGGTTCCTCACAAGAGGAAACAGGGTGGGAAATTAATGTGATGCTGCTGCTGCCACCGTTTTTGTAAATACTTGCATTAGAACAAGCAAAGATACCTTCCCCCTCAGTTCATAGTAAAACAAATCTACTGCCTAATTCACCAGGGGCATCTTGCTGAATATGTTTGTCTCTTTGCTGTCAACTTGGGCTACAGCCAAAAGATGCTTACTTGGGATAGTTTCCTGAGAAGCCAGGTATATCAAGTTGTATGTTTATGAGAGTGTCTGTGAGAATGATGCTATGTCATCAAGCAGCATCATTTCCATGGGCTGCCAGAGGCAGACAAGTTGTTGCTTGAAGCAGAAAGATGGCTTTAAAAAGGACAGACAGACCACTCAGCTGCTTCAACTACCAGCAATAATCCCACCTTCACACAAATGATCTTTTGGAACTTGTTCATTCCATGCAAATGTGTAGAAAAATGTTATTACACAAAAACACCACACTTAGAGGATTATACTGGAAATAGTGCAGCTTCAACAGTTGTATTACAATAACAAAAAATAAAATAAAATAAAACTTTGAGGACACCCACAGAGCTAATGCTTTGATAATATAAGTGCTTTGATGATATGAGTGCAGCTTGGATTGCTTGATGGGTATAGTAGACCGTGTAAAAGCCCTTTTAGCTCATAATAAACAGAACTGAGGGTGAATAAGCAAGTAGAATAAGAGCATCAAGGAAGGGGTAAGCATTTATTTACTAAATATGATTACAGGGATCCATTTTTTGTTCAAGTGAAGAATATGGGAAAGAATTATGAAAGCAAACAGATAAAAGTGAGGTGAAATATAGGGGGAAAGTTCACAGAGTTGAATCATTGTTCAACAAAGGGGGAAGCATAACTACTGTTCCCTCTCCCTACCTTTCTTTCGCCACACACACACACACACACACACAGAGAGAGAGAGAGAGAGAGAGAGAGAGAGAGAGAGAGAGAGAGAGAGAATGAATACCACAGGAATAAAAGATGAAAGAAGAAAACAGAATGTGCTTGAATAAGGAAATGTCATAGGGGTATGAAACACCAGGATCCAAGGGAATGGTGGCAATGCAAGAAGGTAAAGTGAAGAGGGATAGGTAAGAAAACAGATAAGAAAGAGATTGTAGATGAAATAAAATAACAAGACTATGCTTGATGTATTAAAGCAGTCAATGGGACTTCTAAGAAATGGCTTAATAATGAAATAATATAAATCATGGTAACCCAATGCAATGCAAACAGAAGGTTATCATAGGGAAGGATATTATTTACTATTTTACTGATCAGAACATAGGCTGATTTAAGGATGTTGTCTCAGTTTGTTCTAGTTTGCAATCTTTGCACTGGAGCCTTTGTTACTTTCTGAACTTAAACTTGAGAAGACCACCCATGATGAGTCAGAGCAAAGATACCTCTAGTAGGACACTCTGTTCACACAGGGGCTAACCAGCTGCTGTGGGAAACCCACACATAGGACACCTAATACTGAATATGTACTTGAAAATTAGGCCACTTATTTTAATGGAAGCTCTTTTCCAAGCAATTAGGCTTAGAAGCATATTTGCTACATATTGATTGTACATCGTTTATTTGTATACTATAGTTTTCACAGATGCTTTGTGCTTGAAGCAGCTCAGAGCAAATAAAGTATCAACAGTCTAAACAAAATACATATCACTAACCATAACATCAATAATACATTACAGTATAATGCTGACAGTTCAGTAATGCACTGACAGTTCAATCATAGTATATCAAAGGTTTAAATAAGCAAAACCATGCCCCAGGCTTCCACAAAAGAGCTCAGAGCAGCTTCCATAGGGTTCCCAGGCAGTCTCCCTTCTAAGCCGCTTACAGGACCACACCTGTTCAGTTGCCACATTAGATGTGCATCACATGCTTTCAGACCATTTTCTGGGCCATTGCTAGTTTAGATAAATCCCACTCTCTGACTGAGTTGTACTGAAAACAGTGAGAGTGAACCTTGCCTTAGCAACATAATTAGCTTCTTTCATCAGGACTTAGACACAGGTAACTTTAGCTAGATTGGAGTGACATGCCGATCAAGCTTTAAGGTTGAGGACAAGAGCTCCCTTTGGTAATCATTCATTGGCCACACCCCTGGCATTTCTTCTCTTGCTAGGCTTGCCCCTACGCTGTTGATGTGCTGAAGGCAAGACTGCAATGGGGTTGCCCACTGAATGAACTTAGATGCTTTCCATGAACTGGCTGTAGCTCACACGGAGAGCCTACATATGTTCAACAGGCTTCTCCTTACAGACATTTCCTCAACACATAGTGTTGGGTGGAGCTAGTAGGGGAAACATAGGTTGGAGTGGGTAGCCATAACTCCACATAATCTCAATAACATTGAGACAAATGGCTGAAAGGGGACTAGGTTAGAACCAGCAGCTTCTAAACCAAAGTATCATGCTTGACATATTTGAGGAATGAAATAGCTATTTTAGGGACTGGGTGCAATCCCCCTGTAATATAGCTTTCAGAGGTTGTTGATTCAGATTCTAATTCAGAAGTAGAGAAGAGGCTTGGATTCTCAGTGGATTTGCCAAGGCAAGTGGACTCAGAGATAAGCCAGGCAGTTTCGGAGAATCAGACACTTTCTGACTCTGTGGGAAAGTTTAATGAAGACGCTGATATGGGAGGTGAAAGATGCAACACAATTAGTCTGAGCGTAAGGCATCAGGTTAAGAGAGAAGAACAAATTAGAAGTATCAGATGTTCCAGGTGATTGGCCCATAAGCAGCAGGATCCACCTTAAAGGTTGAGTCAGTGATTTTTTTGTTTGGAAAGGAGGAGAAGTATTCAATTTGGAACCAGTTTTGTATCATTAAGTGGCATTTCTGTAATGGCCAGTATTCTAACTTTGTTATTGACTTCTGCAATACCCTTCTTTTGCATCACAAAGACAGCCTAACTGATCATCTTTAATATAATAAAGACTTAGTCAAAAAGCCTTTGTCCTGATCTGCCTGGAAGGAGATAAAGAAGAATGACCAGGACAATGAGGCACACGTGATGCAGATTTCTGCAGGATATAGTAGGACTGATATACTAAAATAAGGAATCAAAGAAATGTAAAGGAAGAGCTGATGTGATGATCAAAGACTCCTCATGTAGATCACTTTCAATAGCCCTATCTACTTTCTGTTCAATCTGTTTCACTGCTAGTTATTACTTGTTATTATCAATATAGAAACCTTCTGTATGACAATTAAATATATTTATGCCTTCCCAACAGCTTCCCAACATATAGAGGAACTTAGTTTAAAAGATAAGTTACAGTGTCAGCTTTAACCAAGCATAGCCACTACAAATATGAATAAGATAAAAGGGCTCATTACCTTCTGAAGAGTGAGCTATGATCATTAATATTTCTTAGCCTTGCTTTTGTGCCATTCACACATCTGAGCAAAATAAATCCCCATGAGAGATAAGCCTTCTTTTCCTTTGCAATGTTCAGTGACTTGGGTACAAAATTAAATACCAGGCATTTTTAAAGCCTGTCTGGATACAAATATATATATATATGTATTAAAAATTGTTTAGTTTAAGATTTATTTCCTCATTTCAGAGAAACATTCCATAATGTATGATCAATTCTTACAAATGTTTTCAACAATGTTGTGTTCCCACTGGTATCACTAGAGTAGTGATCAGCTCATGATTTCCATATCCATATTTAAATTGAAACAATATTTTTCCATCCTTGCTTGCTTCCTTGCTTGCTTCCTTCCTTCCGCCTCATCTTTTGTATGCAGTCCCTTGGAGATCTCTGTACAGCATTAAGTCAATGCAGGTACATGAAAAAATGAATCATAACAATTATAATTTATCTTGTTTGTACCTTAAGTTATTTGCCTTGAATGTGTTTCCTTTATTTGTAAAAATATTGAAAAACCAAGTGACTTAGCTTTCAGCAAGTGGGCTGAAAAAGTTGGTGGAAACTTTCTGCCTCTAAAGTTTTTGAGCTAGTTCTGACACCAAGGCAGTGTGTTTTGTTTTGTTTTTTTTGCTTCAAATTCTTCTCTGCAATGTTTGAGCTAGCACCCAGAAAAAAATGTTATAAAAGGTGCTAATATTTTGAAACCTTTTGAAGAAAATACTAATTCTAACTGAAGTGATAATAAACCACACTAAAACTGATCAAGAAGTGTGATGTTTACATTCCGAATAAATAACTGACAAGTTTCTGAATAGGTCAAACATACAATGAGGTGAAACTTTGTGCATTATAGTTTAAAACACACACACATAACTAGAAATATATAACTCCTTTTTTCCTGAATGTTCCACATTCTTCTGTCTTTTCGCCCTTCTTACACACTTAGACGTGAATGTTCTTTTGAACAATAACACATTCTCCTTGATTATTTTCAGATGATCACTCCAGGGTGAGACTACAATTGCTGGATGGAGATCCCCATTCAGACTACATAAATGCCAACTACATAGATGTAAGTACAATGAAAACATTTCTCTTTGAGAAGAATTTTAATGAAAAGGGCCAGCTCCAGGTTCAAAGGGACACTGGGGAAAGTGTCCTCTGGTTGTTCCCTCCTTTGCTAATAACTCCCAAGCATGGGCATGGCTGGCATGACTAGTGAATGCCAAGATCATCTGGCTGGATCTAGCCACCATTTAAATTTCCCACAATGCTATGCATGTAGCCAAGCAATTAACATGGAGGCTAGATCCAGGCACCTTGTGCTGCTTGGAATGTGTGACCAGATTTTTTTTTTTCATGGGGTTCAGTGCAGGCATTAACAATGTGTGCTTTTGGGCCCTGGCAGATGCCCAAAGGTCCTGGTGCCAGCTCTGCTAATGAAAAAAGGCAGTGCACATTCTTCAGCTCCTTGTAGCAAAATGTAGTTTGGGCTTTCAAAGCTTCAGTGCTTCTCCTCTGCTGTGGATTTCACTTCTAAATGAATAAAGCACATGAAACTTACTGAAGGCAACTGCATCAATGTCTAAGTTCTAGTGCAGATGGAATAACTTCTTAATCTGGTTATGGTCAGGAATGTTTCACAGACTTGCTGCTCCTCTCTGCTTTGCTCTCTCATGTCTCTTCATCTGAGGAAATGAATCATATTGTTGGCTTTAGGAACATACTCAATGGTAGAAAACTTTTGTCTACAAATGGGCATAAATCCAACACTCAGAATCTCAGGGGGGGAGGGGGGAGAAACTGCTGCCTGAAACCCTAGAAGTGGTGTTGAGAACAGACCCATGGGCTTACTTTGACCCATGAGGTTCCCTATCTGGCCCATGGACTCTCAGAATATGTCAGGGGGTTGAGATTGCCCTCCAAGTCCTGCTTCATGGAAGAATCCCTGTTATCTCAGATTAGAATTAATGGTGAAGATGTGGTTGACATGTGATTCAGGTGGGGTTTGGAAGGTCTCTACTCGCCAAGGCAGTTCTTCCACCACACACTGCCCCCAGTGAGTGCTGAGGGAACCCAGGGATCCACCCTCACTGAACCCTCCTGAATTTGGGAGAATGTAGCTTGGAAAAAGCAGCAAAGCCAGCCACTGCCTGGCTTGGGACAGCTTTGTCCACTGTGCACCTTCTGTACTGGGAACAATGCACCATGAGTGAAATGGCAATGATAAAGTGTCACTACTTCATCTGTGCTGTAGATTTCCCTCCTGGGGAAGAGAGAGAGCTGGCCATATCCTCTGAAAATAGATGGCACCTGGTGCACTGCACCTCCTGCTTGGGTCAGCATAGTCTTACTTTGTCTTCACCTTCCTTCAGTGAGGTGTTCATGGTGAAGGCAAAACTGGTTATGTGGGCAAAGCACTGAAACGAGAGGTAGCACTTTAGCTTGGGACAGGATGATGTCAACGCACAAAAGGCCCAGTTGGAAGGGGGCCATTTGGTGCCCTTTCTCCAAAGTTTGTCCAACTCTTGTCCGAGAGCTGTTACAAATCAGAATAGAGAAATATTGAGCCTGTAAGTCTGGTCCCAGGTCCTTCGTGAGCATTACAGAGAACAATGAGACCAGAGGAAGCACAGTTTTGTGTCTCTTAGAATGTCACTTTTGGCTCTGATTTCAGTATGAATTTCTCTCAAATAGGTGTAAAAGGAAGTGAACACTGCTGCTTGGAAGATAACTAGTTATAAGCACTTTTGTGTATTAAATGGATGTAGGATAAGAGATAGAAGAGTGCAGAGGCCCCATTTAAATACTCTCTATTTCACTAATGTAGACCTGTGAATTCTTGACAAAATGGAAAATATTAGCAAAACATTTAACAGCATTCATATTTCATATATAGGTCTATTTTACTTTAATTATAATATTTTAAAAGATCCTTCAATTAAGGGAAAGGGAAAATGTATTTAATGCAGTGCAGCCCACACGGTTTTAAAAATCACTGATGCCTGATTCAGTTTTGACAAGAAACAGATGTGTGTTTTGCAGATGAGAGGACAAAGATTTTTCCATGTTCATCCTATTAATGAATAAGTAAGTGAAATCAGTTTAGGCAGTTAATATAGAAATATGAAAGTGAGATCAGGCTTTTATCTTAGCATTATCTTCCACTGTTGGTTGAACTATAAGGACAATGCAAAGGCAATTGAAGAAGTTTGTGCCCTACATAATTTCACTGAATTTCACCACCATGACTTTTTTGTCATTCAGTGGATGACAAATTTTTTGTCATTCAGTGGATTACTCCCAAATGGTCTGTTTTAGCATTCTTGTTGGAAAGCCACCAGAGAGATGGTGATGGCATAGTAGAAAGTTTATCACCTATAGAAGTGTTGGTGAGTCTCTTTGCATCCCTGTTCAGAGTCAGGCTTTGGAGTCTAGTCAGTCTTGTTTTGAGTTTCAGCCAGTTTGCCTGCCTTCCAGCTCTCTAACCATCTAGATCTTCCCAACCCATCACACCTTTCCCTTTAAATCACATTTAATGAATGAATGCAAGCAGGGGTAATGCTTCTATCACAAGGAGAGGACCCTCCCTTCTCTGGTACCTGGAGAGCTTTGCAGCTGTTCGCAGGACCTCAATCTTCAAACTAAGATTAGATTGCCAAATTAATACTAGTGTGTGTTAATGACCCTCAGGAAGCACAGTCCTTCCTCTCCTCCCCAAATTCCAGGGGTGAGCATTGATGTGTATGGTGTCAAACAAGCTTCTGCCATAGTAAGTGAATGTCTGAAACATGTCTGTGATGGAAGCTCATTGAGATGATCAATAATAGAAGTAGGAATAAGCATTTTATTTCTATATCTGTGTGGGACAGAGGTAAGAATATTGAATCCACGAGTCCCCACTCAGCCACAAAGCTCACTGGGTGACTTTGGGCCAGTAACTGCCTTTCAGCATGTCCTACCTCACATGGGTTGTTGTGATAAGATTTGCAGGAGGGGGAGGATTATGTGAGCTACCTTGAGTTCCTTGAAGGAAAAATGGTGGGATATGAGCATAATAAATAAAAAATTATTGCCCAGTAGCTGAAGCTCTCTGGGTGGATCACAGCAATTCATAAAGAAACACAGAGGAGAAAGACAATAAAAATACCGTAATATTCCAATATTTAAATCACGATTGTCCCATAATATGCAATTAGATAACACTGAATGCCTCAGCAAAGAGGGCAGTCTTAACCTGGTGCTGATAGGATAACAAAGTTGATGCCTGGTGAATGTGTCAGTAGGAATATCATTCCAACCTTTGCTTTTGTTTTCCTAGGGATACCATCGGCCTCACCATTACATTGCAACTCAAGGTAAGAATAATATAACTGAGCTGTGGCATAAATGACATGGTAAAATACCTTAAGGGTGAAATCTTATGCATGTTTACACAGAAAAATGTCCTAAAATTCCCAGCATGCTGATGCTGAGAGATGGCAGATATATGTCTAAAATCTGCTCCCCACAGCTGGAATGCTGTCACTAAGGAGAATCTCCTGGTGCTTTCTTTATACTCTTTTTGGCACTATGCAAAGACCTACCTCTTTCAAAAAACATTTAATATATATTAGTCACCATCTAACCTCCAGTTGTATTAATTTAATGTAATTTTATTAAGTTTTATATTTATATTAACTTATGCTGTTGTTTTATTGTTTTATATTTTAATTATCTGATGTTAGCTGCCTAGAGATGTCATGGATGAAATAGGCGGCATATAAATGTTTTAAATAAAAAAATAAAACATGCATACAATTGCAACCTAAATAAATACCGATGTGATAATTTCCAAAAACAGAATATGCAACTTGTTTAGAAGTTTATCCACCACAGGTAGTTTTATAAACCATGTTAGGTTTAGTTTAACATACAGAGATGGAAAATCAAACTATTTCCTGTCCAAAAACTTTTAAATGTGTAATCTCATAAGTTTGTTCTGTTCTATTTTTATATTAGTTAATGATTTCTAAAACAACTCTCTCCCCTAAGATGTGTATTTGAATTCTTATTCCCATACATACTGTCTAAAAACATATTCTATTTTTCTTTTAAAATGCACCTTTTAAAAAGCATTTTATTGATTGTTTATCAAGTCAAGAATTACTGAACATGTTAGTTTGGTTTGTAAAGACTAACCAATGATAGTGTGTGTGTGTGTGTGTGTGTGTGTGTGTAAGTGCCCCTAATAATGTGTGCTTGATCAAATAGTGGTCTAAAATTCATAAATTGGATTCAGGCAATTACACAAACAGCACACAAAGATGTTAATAAATGGAGCTTTAACCAATGGCTTTCAGATAGATAAAGCAACATGTCAGGTGTGTCATTATCACCACTTCTATTTATTCTTATATTGGAAATCTTAGCCACAAAGATAAAACAAGATCCAAAAATTAAAGGCTTGACAGTAGATGGAGAAGAATACAATATGAAAATTATGCTGGCAATGTACTATTGATGATTCCTAAGTCCTAAATCTACATCTGTCAATGCAACATATAATAGATTGAATTGAAAAGTTTGGATCTTTCTCTGGTTAAAAAATTATATGAAAAAATTAAAATTATTTTAACATTTTTAATGAAGCAAGAAGAGGAGAATATTTTAAAAATTTCAGGATGTGAAATAACTTCTAATCCAGTTAAGTATCTCTGAATAAATGTGACTGGACAAAATAATACATTATTCCAAGACAGTTCTAAAATACTGTGGATGAAGATCCACAAAGATCTATAGAGATGGTCCAAACTAAATATGTCATGGCTGGGAAGAATTTCTGTTATAAAAATGAATGTCCTACCAAAGTTGAACTTTTTATTTCAGACAATACCAATTTTCATACAAGGAAAAATGTTACAAGAATGGCAAAGACAATTGAATACCTTCATTTCGAATGGGATAAAGCCAAGGATTAGATTTAAAGTACTACAGGATGAAAAAAGAAAGAGGAGGTCTAGCATTACCTAATATTAAATTATGTTATTATGCAACTGGATTGGTTTGAATTATGGACTGGATTAAAAATCCTGATGAAAGGCTAATAAAATTGGAAATATAGCAGATATAGAAGGAATGCATAAGCATTTGTGGGACAAGGAATCAATTAAAAAAGACCCATCACCAAATAAAACTCATATAATTAGAGAAGGAATCTGGAATACTTTAAGAAGAAGGATCAGTCCTTCAGTATCTCCTTTGATATCTCCAATAGAAGCATATTAAGACAAATATTCAATGAAAACTAATGATTTTATAAATATGGAGATATGACAGATCAACAAAGTAGAATCAAGTCCTGACAAACATGAAGAGATGAAGAAGAAAAAGAATGGCTTCTTTATTTCTAACTGGTCTCCAGACTGAGAGGGAAATTCATCAAGGAAGACATACCATAAGAGATCTAATGGAATTTGAGAAATTGATTTCACAGAAAAGACCATTTATTAGGATGGATAAGCTATTATTGCAATATGATACAGAAACCAAACAAGTTAAAACATGTATGATAAGTTGGATGCAGAACCTTGGAAAAGACATATCCTTCCATCAATGGGAAATTTTATGGTTGAAAGGAATAAAACTCACAGCCAGCCAATCATTAAGAAAAATTGGTATAAAATGTTTTTTCACTGGTATATCACCGCTGAAGATATTCAAAAAATGGAAGAGAATGGAACGTGTTTGAAATGTAAAGAAGTGGAAGGGACTCTTTACCATACATGGGGAATGTGTGCTAAGCTTAAAAATCTTGGAAAGAAATAGATACAGAAATACAGAAAAGTTTGATACTTAACTTTTCAATTAATGCTAATAATACATTACTGAGTATTTTACCAGAAACCTTCTCAAGAAATACATGAAAATTGTTTAAATATATGATAACATCAGCCAGAGTTACAATTGCAACAAAATGGGAAAAAGAAGACTGCCTAACCAGTGAAGATTAGACAAATAAGCTAGCTGAATATGCAGTGATGGCAAATGAACCAACTTTGTAAATAGAAGACTTGTTAAAGAATTTAATGATAAAACGGAGACTTATTATACCTATGTTTAGTCATAAAAAGGAAATCCAGTTAATGAATTTAGTGATAAATGGAAAGCCTATTCATTTTTAATTGTAATTGAAAGAAAAAATGGAAACTTTGGGTGTCATTAACACATAATGTATACAATGATTAGATTAGTATAATTGTCCTATGAAATGAAGGAGAAATGGGTGGAAAATGGGAGAATAGAGGGGAAAATATTTTTATCATAATTGGTTTTATGAATATGATGTGGGATGAATTATAATTTACCAATGTCTATGTTAAAGCAATTGTACGTGTGAAATTGTTAGTTGTATTTGACTACTTACCAGTATAACAAGTATTATTTATAATTATGTATTATCATGTAAAATTGTGGATATAAGTTTAGATGATGTAATGATTATTGCTGATGCTTCATGAAACTTCCTGCATTTAGTTTTATAAGCAATTTTTGTATGAGGTCCCTTGGTAACTTTTTTTCATCCTATGTATTTCTTTCTGTTTTTTTAAAGTATAAAACAAAACAAAAAATAAAAAAAAATGTACTTGATTTTAATCCTATGCATACCATGTCCCACACCCAAATGAACCTCACTAGTACAACCCCTGATTTTAGAAGGCCATCTTACAATCTTCGGGAGATGTTAGACGGTTTGTAGCTGCTAAAACCTTTGTCCTTTATATTGAATAATATCAACAAATAAATCTGGGCACAGATGTTTGTTTCAGCAGCATTTCTGATTCTGCTCAAATGAAAGTGCTATAAAGAAAATCCACAAATATTCACAGAAGCATTTAGCAACAGATTCCCGAGGAAAAAGGGGTTTATGTTAAAGATCACACAGTCAAATTTATATTTTACAATGATGAAGATGTGTCCCAATGTTTAGGATAGATTCAGAAGTTTAGCTGTCATTCATATCTATAACTATTCATAACTATAATGCCAAAATCCATCATGCTAAAGTTAATAGGATGCTTATCCAATATATAGATTGGATGTAGAATGGTTTAACTTCCATAATTTATTTATTGTTATCTATTTCTTGGAATTACTTCTGGGCTGTTTCTAAGAGTGGAGCCCACTTAACATGGCATGGTATATGTAATAAACAATATATTAAAACAATAAAAAGAAAGGAAAACTAATAATTGCATGTACAATTAGGAACCCAAAAGTACAAGTTAAGAAAAAGCTAATGGGAATCAGTAGGTCTTCTATGCTTTCCTGAAGATCTGCAAAGAAGGTCCTGGCAACTACCAGATACAAGTTTGCTTGTTTAATTCAAGTTCCACATTTTTGGGCAAGACTTCTTCAATTGCTCCATTTCTCTGTGTGTACACAATCTAATCACCATTGTCACTAGCTGCTATTGCATCTCTTCATCTATTTTTCATCTTTGCTAGAACATGTTTGTTTGAAAGACAAGAAGCTGGTGAGCAAGTTGGTAGTGACATTTCCTGTTTGTCCTTTTCGGCACCACTATTGTCTCAGGCAGGCATGAGTCCAGAGGCTCTTGTCATTTGGCCCCTGCTGGTATATGGGTTTTTGGCAGGTGCCCAGCTATGCCTACTTTTGATGCTAGTCTGGATTATTTCACTCACCAAACTTCATTTTGAAAAATATGCAGTCATCTTTAAGAAACTCAATGTTTAATTATGGTAGGGCTGTGAGGTTGAAAGTAAAAAAAAAAAAAAAGTTTGTACTAAAACCACTTTTGGGGTTCCCTTTCTCTTTCTCTCTCACTCACATCTTCTCCTCCTCAGGTCCAATGCAAGAGACAGTGAAAGATTTTTGGAGGATGATCTGGCAGGAGAACTCTGCAAGTGTTGTCATGGTGACCAACCTGGTGGAAGTTGGCAGGGTATGATGCCCAAAGCATTCATCAGCTATTGTGGTCCATGTCACTCTTACACACATTCCTTCTTCAATCCACTCCATCCTATTTCCACATTAATATGTCAAAAATGAGACTACTATATATAGTTATAGCTATATACTATTTTCTGCACCAAATGTGGGTGTGTACTTTGCCAGAAAAATGCACGTTCAACCATTTCTGCCATCCAAATATATTCATATATGCATATTTGGATAAGTATACAATCTAATATGTTTTAAGCCAAAATAGGTGTTTTAGAGTCATTGTTTGAGAAGAACTCAAACTTCAGTGGATTGCAAAATCTGATGAACTCACGTTGCTCCAATCTACACATGAGTTCAGGAAGTGAGGATCAGATCATTTCATAACAAAATTTGCACAGATTGAATTCCTCAGGCAGTCTAGGTTTAATTACGCCCACCATTTTGTTTTTTCAGTTTTTCAACCATTTGAAATAATATAATAATAATCAGCTTACCATGTGACTTAATGTTAAAATAACCAGATCTTCAGAGCTACCATGGTTGCCTTCTTATGCAACTACCAGCTGATAGTTGGTTGTGTGTGCTTTGTTTTTACTCATCTGCTTTATGTCACACCCAAAAGTCCTTTCTTGATGTCATAGCCACAATCTCAGTGTTGGACCTTGCAGAAACACCATGGGGATCAAGTCAGATGGTTCCACTTTCTATACTTTACTGTAGCTTCTGTATAATGGACACCATGATTTAAGGAAACTACATTATTTTTGCTAAGAGAATAGTAGTCTAATTCGGTTTAGCATCAGAAAGGTAATGACAAAAGAATGTACAGAGTGATGACTAAGCCCATCATACAGAGGGAAAAACAGGTTGTCTGAATGAATCTTCCAGTAACTTGGTGAATGAACAAGTGGCTCTGGTCAACATACCTCAATGTTTCCCTGTGATCTTTTCTGTCATAGGTGAAGTGTGTCAGATACTGGCCTGATGATACAGAAGTCTACGGAGATATCAAAGTCACCTTAATTGAGACAGAGCCATTGGCAGAGTATGTCATACGCACTTTTACAGTCCAAAAGGTAAGGATATTGGTGGGGGGGTGATTTATTGTGATGGCTATGTGCTTTCCCCAGAGTCAGAGCCAGCGTGCCTCCAGATGCCAGTGACATAGCCTCAGGAGTGGAGGTTTAGCATCATTCCAGAAGAACTCTGAGCCCAACAAGTAATCTCACTCCAATGAGGACATCTAGGAAGCTCTGACACATCTCCTGATCTTTAGAAGTCAGTCCTTCCATCAGCATCAGCTTCTAGGAATGGCTTTACCAAAGCCTGTTAGGCTCGCTCAGCTGCAAAGGAGCGTAAACCTACAGGAATGGGCTGAGGCCCCATAAGTTCTCAGTAACCATGGGAAATAGAACTTCTTCGTCGTGGCCTCTGTGCATCACACATATGGGTACTGCACCTGTGCAGTGCCTTTGGCCGGAAGATTGAAAGCTAACGGTTTTTGGAGGGAAGCTCCGCTCCCCCTCCCCCTTGTGGCCTATAAAGAGCGGAGCGTCCGCCATTTTGTTCAGTCTTTGCGACCGCCGTTCACTTGCCTCGTGCCGCTTTCGACTTTCGCTTTGGCTATTCTTGGTTCTCTCCTTATATATTGCCCTTATACTACTTTTCCCTTACTTCATTTCCCGCTTCTGTGTAGTTTTCTCTTGTTATTTCTTCTTCGATCTATCAAAAAAAAAAACAAAACAAAACCGACCCTGCTCAAACCGATCCTTCAAGAGGCCATGCGGGTCACCCCTCAGGGGTCTCCCCAACGTGCGGTCGACCTCCCGCCTGCACCCCTTCCAACTCTACGGGGGTCTATCTCGGATGGGGAAATCCAGGACTCCCCTCCTAGAGCGAGGACACTGACACCGATGCCCGCGGTGATATTGGAGACAGAAGCTGGCCTGTTCCCACCAGGGAATCGGAGGAGCCACTTGGTAGAGCAATGCCCAGAGAGTTGGCGTCATCCCTATTACCAATCTTGGGGAGACCCGCTCTCTGTGGGGTACTACCCTGCTCCCAGGGCGCGATCCTCACCTCCACTCCGCGACCAACCACGGTCTGTGGATTCGAGGAGGGTGCCACCTCGATCCCCGCAAAGCGGAAGTAGCTGCTCCTTATCACCGGTGGAGTCATCATCTTCTGCCCCACCATACTGTGGTGCTGATTCGGATGACTCTGATGTAGACTCAACCTCCCCGGACGTCGTGGTGACATCCCAGGATCCTGCGTCACCCGATGAGTCACACGTCTCCTTCGCGGAGCTGATGTCGAGGCTTGTCCAGTCCCTGGACATCGACGCTGCCCAGCACCCAGGACCGTCGATGGATAAGTTTTACGACGTCGTTCGCGGGGAGCAATCGACCTCTATCGTTCTGCCACTTCCCTTACCCTGCGGCAGGCGATGACGCAGCCCTGGGACCTACCTTCACATCCTCAGCCGACGTCCAGGAGATATGAATCTATGTACAGGGTAAGGGAAGAAGACATCCCCTTCCTGCTAAAGCACCCGAAACCAAACTCGGTGGTCGTCGAATCCTCGCAAGGGAGAGAGGCGATGGGACATACGGCCCCGAGGGATAAGGAGGGCCAGAAAATAGATTCCCTGGCCAGGCGGGTCTATGCTGCCTCGGGCTTAGGACTTCGCATTTCTAACTACGAGGCGACGTTGGCGCGATATCAATATTTTATTATGCAGCGCCTCCACAACGTCGCCTCCACCCTCCCAGACCACCAGGGTGACCTTGCGAAGGTCCTGATCAAAGAAGCCGTGCAGGTCGCGGTGCAGCAGTTGTCCACGGCATGTCACCACGTGGACACTGACTCCCAGGCCTTGGTCGGTGCCGTTTCCCTCCGGAGACACGAATGGCTTCGGAGTTGTAATTTCCTGGAGGAAACCAAGTGGCAAATAGAAGAGATGCCTTTTGATGGTTCCGGGCTCTTCCATTCGCGTACCGACCACAAACTCAAGAAACTGCACGAGTCAAGAATGACGGCGCGCAGGATGGAGATCCAGTCACATAGCAGACGTAAGTGGTCCTGGAATCGGCCATCCTACAGGCAGACATACCAGCAGAGACAGCTGCCGCAACACCGCCAGCAACAACAGCATCAACAGCGCTGCCACCCTCAGCCCCAACAGCGCTTCCAACAGGGCCGCCGCCATTTCGACGATCAGAGGCATCGCTGACGGGACTGGTGAACCACTCCTCATGCTCCTCTAATACCCACCCCCCTCTCATCTGGAGATTGGCTCCGAAGCCGACTCCACATTTGGGAGTCCATCACATCTGACTGGTGGGTATTATCCATCGTTCAACACAGCTATCGAATAGAATTCGACATCGTTCCTCCATCGAGTCCGATCCGGTCTACTTCATGTTTGCCGGTACTTCTCGACGAAATACATCAACTTCTCCTTAAAGGAGCGATTCGTCAAGTATTCCCATCTGACGGACTCCACAGATTCTATTCCAGATACTTTACGGTCCCCAAGCGGGACGGTGGTCTACGTCCGATTTTGGATTTGCGGGACTTGAATAAGTTTATTATACCAAGAAAGTTTCGTATGTCCACCCTTCAAAACATTTTGCCATTGTTAAGGAGAGGGTATTGGTTTGCCTCACTGGACCTGAAGGATGCCTACTTTCATATTTCAATTCATCCAACTTACAGGCGTTTCCTTCGTTTTGCTGTTGCAAACCAACTTTATGAGTTCAAAGTTTTACCCTTCGGACTGGCCACGGCTCCGAGAGTTTTTACCAAATGCATGGCTCCTGTCTGTGCCTTCCTACGCCTTCAGGGCATACAAATTTACCTGTACCTCGATGACTGGCTGTTGGTCTTGCAATCCAGAGAAGGACTCCTAGACACCATCCATACAACCCGTACCTTACTAGATAGTCTGGGTCTACGTATTAATACAGAGAAATCTTCTCTTCTTCCGACACAAACGCTCACCTTCATTGGAGCCTGCTTGGATTCGACGTTGGAGAAAGCCTTCCTCCCTCAGGACAGACAGCAGACTCTCGCTCGCAATATCCATCGAATTCGAAGAGAGGGAACGGTTACGGCGAGATCCATCCAGAGGGTCCTGGGGCATATGGCCTCCTCAGTTGCCGTAGTTCCACATGCCAGACTTCGGCTTCGCCCACTGCAACTATTCTTCAACAAGGTGTATCATCCACAAAGAGACCCTCAGTCGAAACGGATTCGGATTCCGTCTTCCGTGCTCCACTCCCTGCGCTGGTGGCTGAAACCGACCAATCTCGTGATGGGAGTCCCCTTCAGGGTGCGACCTCCTTCGATAACTCTCGGTACCGACGCGTCTCTCCTAGGATCGGGGGCAATATGCTCTGGCCTGTCTACCCAGGGAACGTGGACTCATCTAGAGTCCACGAATCATATCAGCTTCCTAGAGCTGCTGGCAGTCTTCAAATCCCTTTGTTCTTTCGAAGACCTCCTTCATCATCGGATCATTCAGATAACTTCGGACAATATAGCGACCGTTTTTTATCTGAACAAGCAAGGAGGGACGAAGTCACCGACCTTAGCCAGGCTTCCTATGAGAATTTGGGACTGGTGCATTCAGAGACACATTACTCTGATGGCCGTTCATCTGGCCGGCACAGACAACGTGCATGCAGTTCTTCTCAGCAGACACATCTTCACTTCTCACGAGTGGGAACTGGATCCTCGTATGTGCAACTACCTTTTCAGGCGCTGGGGGTTCCCCGATGTGGATTTATTCGCTACTCGACAGAACAGAGTATGCGAGACTTACTGTTCGAGAGCGGGAATCGGACAAGCATCCCTAGGGGACGCATTCATGATCCCTTGGGACAACATCAACTTCTATGCTTTCCCTCCGATCCCTCTTCTGATGAGGGTCATAGCAAAGATAGTGAGTGACCGTGCATCGGGGATACTAGTTGCCCCTTGGTGGCCACGTCAAGCGTGGTTTGCGAAACTGCTCGACATCTCCCGCGGGGAGTTTCTTCATCTTCCGGCACTTCCATATCTTATAACGCAAATGGACGGCACACTTCGTCACCCGGACTTGCTCTCATTGAACCTGACAGCGTGGCGGATTCGATGACTGACCTTCCATTGGGGCCGACAATGGATTTGAGAGCCTCGAATCTGACAGCTTCTATTAATCCATCGGTATCAATGATTACTTCGACCGCCTCGGTTCCGATTCTTGAATCCAACCATGCAGGTGCCTCTCACTGCCACAGTCTCTCCGTACCATCCGGTTCGAGACAGACTCCGTCGAATTTGAACCCAACACTCTTGCACCCTGAGATTCAGCATATTATCGACTCTGCTCTAAAGCCGTCCACAAGAAAGTCATATACGGCTAAATGGAAACGTTTTTCCACCTTCGCCGAGTCTCATTCATTCTCCCCACTTGTCTCATCAAACGAACAAATTCTTCAGTTCCTTCTGGAGTTACATCACTCTGGACTGAAGCCATCTTCTATTAAAGTGTATACGGCCGCAATAGCCTACTATCGTGGCTTAGTCGACGGATCACCCCTATTTTCTAATCCTATCCTCAAGAGATTTTTGAAAGGACTGTATAATCTTAATCCATTGATTAGACCGGTTATGCCCACATGGAGCCTTTCTGTAGTTCTACAGGCCCTTATGAAGGCCCCCTTTGAACCTTTGGCGACTGTGGATCTCTGATTAGTTTCGTGGAAGACGGCATTCCTTGTAGCTGTCACGTCAGCCTGGAGGGCCAGTGAGCTTTGTGCCCTCCGCATCTAAACTTCCACAGAGAAAAGGTCGTTTTACGTCTCGACCCATCTTTCTTGCCCAAAGTCTCTACACCTTTCCATACAGGACAAGACATTGTACTGCCTGCCTTTTTTTCATCGCCGTCGAATCCCTTGGAAAGATCTTTGCACTCCCTCGACGTTCGGCATTGTTTAGCCTTTTATCAATCACGAACGGAGTCTATCCGGCGATCCAATAAACTGTTCATTAAATATTCAGCTAGAGATCAGGGCGACCCAGTCACTCCACAGAGGCTTTCTAAATGGATAGTCCACACTATTGTCTTGTGTTATCAGTTAGCTAAGCTCAAATTGCCTTCAGTTCCTCGAGGCCATTCTACTAGAGCTGTTGCTACATCTTTGGCATTCGCATCCGGGGTTCCGATTGATGACGTCTGCAGAGCCGCTACTTGGGCGAATCCCTGCACTTTCACCAAGCATTACCGTCTCGATGTTCAGGCTCGATGGGACTGCTCCTTCGGTAGAGCTGTTCTCTCCTCCGTCCTTTGATGAGAACACCTTCCCTCCTCCTTTGATGGTAAGCTTGTTAATCTACCCATATGTGTGATGCACAGAGGCCATGACGAAGAAAAGCAGGTTGCTTACCTGTAACTGATGTTCTTCGAGTGGCCATCTGTGCAGTCACACAACCCGCCCGCCGGCCCCGCTCAGTGTCGGTAAGTGGATGCATCGACAGCTCAATGTCGATGAGAGAGGGCACTTTCGGTACGGACCATCTCCTTTATGGTACCGACAAAAAAAAAAAAATCCATTAAGATACCGTACGTTCGGTCGCAAAGACTGAACAAAATGGCGGATGCTCTGCTCTTTATAGGCCACAAGGGGAAGGGGGAGCGGAGCCAAAAACCATTAGCTTTCAATCTTCCGGCCAAAGGCACTGTGCAGGCGCAGTACCCATATGTGTGACTGCACAGATGGCCACTCGAAGAACATCAGTTACAGGTAAGCAACCTGCTTTTCTGGGGGACCGAGGTCTATCGTACAGGAGTGTTTTGATGCTGTTGGTGTCTTGCTGGAATAATAGTGATGTCCGAGAGGAAAGTTTCCAGTCTAGCAGCATATGCAGAGTGCTGCCAGAGCTGCAATTAATCTCTGCCTTGCTGATTACCTCCCCAAAACCTCAAACAAAATGTGACCTTTGTCTTGCTAGTTGTAGCTTCATTCAACCAGAACCTTCATCAGGACAACCTGTTGTTGAAAGGAAATAGGGAGACAGACCTATTGTTGCAATGTCCTGCTAGGGATGTGCAGACACTGAGAAGCTAATTTGAGTTTGAGGGCTTTCCTGCTTATTTGATGATTGGAAGTGGGCCAAAATGGATTTTTTTTCATAGACTTCTCTAAGATGGGACCTAATTTGCACATTGCCCCCATCAAAACAAACAAAAAACTGCTAAGGAAATTTGCTATTTGCACAAATTGTATGATTTGCACCAATTATCTTACAGTTTGTTTGTTTTTAAGGTGCAGTTCCCAACCTATATTAGAGTTGGAAGTCCATGAGATAAATGAAATTGCTTTACTGGGTATTAGCACCATTCACGGCTGTCAGTCTGGAATTTGTTAGGAGAAATCATGGATTTTCACCCCCTTCTCGAATTCCTCACACATTTCTATGATTTCCCATGAGCCAGGACTGGAGAACCCTTTTCTCAGGAGCAAACTTTTTCCTTGACCTTTTCAGGTCACCAGCTAGTGTTGTGCAGGACCAGAACACTCCCACATTCTTTTCTCTCAAGATTCTCACCACTGTCCATGGTTCTTTCTTGCTTTCTCCCTTAAGAATCCATAGCAGCTGACATTTAAAATACCTGAAATATCTTTAAAGAAAAGAGTCATATTGCACCTAAAAAATGAAAAGCAATCAATAAAGGATAATAAAAATCAGATAAAGTAAGGTTACTCAAGCATTCATAATAGCTAGATTCTTTAAAGGAGAGAAGTTAGATTTATTCTTGATTTTTTTGTTATTAGTTTCAGTGGTAGCCTAGCTGACCATGCTGCCTTTCAAAAGGCACAGATACCTAGCTTAATTATGCACCATTCCTAGTTTGAAAGTGAGATGACTACCATTCTGCTACTGTGATGATGTTTTACCAGCTTACCATTGTGTTGAATTCCGGAATACATTTTCTCATATATTCCATCAGTGTTCCCCATTCAAAGTTTTGACTGAATTTCACAACAATTCTGTATGCGAATCCTTAATCAGCTTGCTAGTGTTCATCTAGTTCTCCATACAAAGCCCTGATTGGCTTGCTAGACAGAGGCTATTGTAAATCCTTCCCCATTGTAGGAAATAGTTTTCACCATTAAACATCTTTTCTAAATGAATTCATGATAACTGGAACTCTGTTGCTGTATTAGAGTCCTCCAGATTGTAGTCATTTTTATTTCATCTTGAAAGATCAGGAATACAAAATATGCATGAATGTTTGTGGATGCAATTAGGATGCAACTAAAGAAGTGGTAGAGGTCTAACAATGCAATTACAATTATTGCTGTTGTGGATAGAAATCAAGGGCTTTTTAACCCCCTCAGAAAGGCTACCACGAAATCCGAGAGATTCGGCAGTTCCACTTCACCAGCTGGCCAGATCATGGTGTTCCCTGTTATGCCACAGGCCTACTGGGCTTCGTTCGGCAAGTGAAGTTCCTCAATCCACCAGAGGCAGGACCTATTGTTGTGCATTGCAGGTATACAAGTTGCTTCTCTTTGTCATTTCTTTTCATCTATTTATCCATTTACTTCCATAGCCTGGCAGGGACTCCACTAGCTTGTGCTAGAGAATCATGGGGATGAATATTGGGTAGTCTACCACTCTGCTCCATAGCAAGTAGGAAAGATCCATGCTCCTCCAGTGAAAGTGTTGCCTCAGTCCTCCATACAGCTTTGGTAGCTGTACAGTCTTTTAATCCTATGTAGTATACCAGGTTTGCCCATCTATCCTGAATACAAACTATCTAAGAGATAGTGTGACTGGTCCAGTATGGCCTTCAACTGCATAGTATAATCACTGTATTTCAAGTGAATTCTGGTGCCCTAACTCTCCCAAGAATTCAGTATAAGGTTTGGATGTTGCTTATAACCTCTCAGTACCTATTGATTCTCAGTATTCAGTAGAGTACAACAGAAATGCAGTATTAATCATAAGTGTATTTATCATGTATAAACATCAATATTTATCAACAAATAGTATTTTATGTTTGTTTATGTTTTATATAAATGCTATTGTTTGTGTTGAGCATTTTACATCTGTCTTGTTTCACATTTAATACAATGTATATGAGCATCAAGATCTGGATTTTTACTTAAAATGCAACAAGAAAGAAGAGATACTCATGGCATTTGAAACCATTTACTTTCCCCTGCACTGGGTGCACCCCAATATTGTACAAGCTAATTGTGCACACTAAGTTTTAAAAGTTTTACCCTTCATGGCAGCCTAAAAATAATTTTAAATAAATAAATAAATAAATCCTGCACCCAAAAGTGACCCTGAAGTTCTGTTTTATATTGATCAGAGGTGGGATCATATCATGTTTCCCATTCTACTGCCATCTCTGACATCTGAGACTGTAACACATGAAGTAATGGGCTTACATTACAGAGAAGCTGACTTCAGCTGAACATCAGGGAAAAGTTCCTAACAGTCAGAGTCAGACAGTGGAACCAACTGCCTAGGGAGGTATTAGTCACCCTGTCAAGGAGGTATGGAAGCAGTGACTGCAGCGGGATCTGTCTGGGATGCTTTAAATTGAATTTCTACCCTGAGCAGTGGACGGGTTTCAATGCCCTACATGGCTCCTCACCACTTTCTGATTCTAGCATCAAGATTGGACAATCCCACCTCACATAGCCCATCATCTTTTTAGGTTAGCAGTCACCAGGTTTCTTTCATTGTCATTCAGATGCCTCATAAGTACATTCCATGTGAGCATCTTCTTCCAAAATAGCCTCAATAGTTCATCTTATGTACTTTTGGCATCTTAGCAACAATGAAGTGTTCTTTGTTCAGTCCAGTTGCCAGGGTGGGTCACACACAATGGCTGTGACAAAGATTCATCCAAATTTCCAAACAGCTTCCATGTAATTGCCATCTATTTAGTCCACCATATCTGTGCTGGAGCAGTTCCTTGGGCCTAGCAGGGGCAGAACACACAGGTCTTGTTCCTCCATATGATTTTGCTGAATGAAGACAGCACCATATCTCCAGAATGCCATGGCTCTGAAAGTGAATTGGGGCCAGATGAATCAGTGCACTCAGCACAGTGGCAAATGCCTCGTCCTCTTTAGAAAATTGCAAGCAATATGGATAACAAGGGGGAAGAGGTCTTAATATCCCAGCTACTCAGAATGGTAAGAGGCTTTCTTTAAAATGTCTTGAGACCAGGTTTCAGTTTCTGCCTGCATGATCTGAATAACTACGTGGGCAAAGTGCAGGAGGAAAATTGCAGTTTGATGTTTCAAGCTTTGTCAGGCTGTAGCTCTCTGGAAGCAATAGGAACTTTGCTTTTAAAAGACATCATTCAAGGGGAAAAAACCCCTTTCATAAAAAAGCCCTTTGCTTCTGAATCTGCCAGGTGCTCTGCTTGCCAAAAGAATGAAAACTTGTGTCTGTTCTTCCAAGCCTACCGTATCTGTTTTAATTTAAGGTGAGAAAGACAAAACTATGGTCACAATCTTGGCATTTTATTTTCTGCTTTCTCTCTTTCTTTCTCAGTTCCTTTCCCTTTCCTGAGGTTTCTGAGCCTTACTTCCCCCCTCCCCACCCCAAAGAGTGTTGGCTGCACAGCAATGAGGCCCATACCTTAGGGGTAGTGAGGGACTAATGAAGGAAGACAGCTGCACTTGCAATGCTCTTTTTTGTCTGCCTCTGAACGCTCTGCCTTTTCACGGTCCATAGATCAGGTCCTTGTTCTTCTTTGCTCCTCTCCTCCAGTGCCGGTGCTGGGAGGACAGGCTGCTTTATTGCCATTGACATCATGCTTGACATGGCGGAGAATGAAGGCGTGGTAGACATATTTAACTGTGTGCGGGAACTGCGATCCCAGAGGGTGAACTTGGTGCAAACAGAGGTAGGTGCGGCATGTTTTTTTCCTTGCTTGCCAGCCTGTTCCCAGGAAAATGCTCAGCCCTAACAGATGGCTCTGCACTATGGAATGGAACTGAAGGCAATGGCATGAATGTATCTGTCATGGCTGCAGCATTTGAGGATCTGCAGAATCATCTCCAGCCCAGGATCAGCCTATCTCCTACCCACCAAGGAATGCACATGCAACTTTTTTTGTCATGCATCTAAGATATCTTAAGCTATGGGTAAACATATAAGGAATGATTGCAGCAGTCAAGATTTGCAAACATGTGCATGTGTCAAAATGCAGATATAGTAATTAGAGTGCAACTAGCTTCTGAATCTATAATGGATGGCATATTACATATTAATGAAGGAAAATAATTTTTCCCAAGATATTGGAATTATATTCCCTAGCAATCACTAACAATTGTTAATTTTGCAGAGTTGAAGTCTACATCCATTTAGAATACTATATACCTTGATATAGCAGTTAAGCATGTAAATCTGGAATTATAGTTACATTCTATAGAATTTAAAGTGCCATCCACATAGATGTCATGGGATTTGCATGACATGACAACCCTCAAATGGGGGTTAGAAATTACTTTGGAAGCTTTGTACAGTCTAGAGCAGGCCATGGATTATGTGTGAGTTGGTTAACCCTCTCAAAATCCATGCTTGTCAGATCTGCATGACACAACAATGCCCAAGCAAGAGTTGGATATGCAGAGTGGCACTGTTAAATAACCCATGGCAACCTTCACTGTATCATGTGAACCAGGTCAATAAGGATTGTTCATTATCCAAATGCTAATAAGCTTCTTCTTCAATGGATTCATTCACTGTTGTTATATTAACATGCAGTTGCAGTTTAGCTTTGATCCCTTTTTCATTTGCATACATGATGGTAAATATGTCATTCACCATTGTTGGAAAAATGAATTGTTTTGAGGTGCTTAATAGCCTAACACCTCTGAGAGAGGTTGCTGAAAATTCCTTTCATATGAGGGATGTGGAAGATTACTCTTGATAGGACTGTCTATGATCAATGTTCAACTTCTTTCTGCATAGGAGCAATATGTCTTTGTTCATGATGCCATTCTAGAAGCATGCCTTTGTGGCAACACAGCCATCCCTGTTTGTGAATTCAGATCCATATATTACAACATCAGTAGACTGGATCCACAGACAAATTCCAGCCAGATAAAAGATGAATTCCAGGTAAACAAAACAAACCAAAAACATATATTTCACTACTCGTGGCAGCTTTATCCATGTTCAAATTCACCTCAGTAAGATGTTAGAGTCTCTCAGATACTTTGTTATGTGAATTAGATCCAAAGAGAATGTGCATGTATTCAAATTGCAGATTTTCCCTTTACCCTCAAAATATGAAAGCAGCCTGTGCAGTAAGATCCCTGAATCCAACAGCAGAAACCAAATGCAGATTAGCTTGAGGGGACCCGTTGCACAGGTGTGTCAATGTGTGTCAGTAGATATATTTTTCTCTGTGATAGAAGCTATTTGACACTGAGGTGAGATGCCAGGAAGCTTTACACCAAAAAGGAACTTGCAGGGCTGGAGCGGGGTCTTATTTCTTGTCTCAAAGAAGTGAGCATTTCAAACTCTCGATTTCTTTATCTCTGTTGGATTAAAATCCAAGTTTATCCCCATGATCTCAGCTGAAAATGATAGCTTTCCACAGCTGTAAGAAGTACCACATGCACCCCTCCTGGCTGCATGGAATTGTCAAAGGTAGGATGACAAGCAGGAAGGGTTTGAGTTCACTGAGATATTCTGAATTCTGCCCTGAAGCTCATTTTACCTTGTTTGCATTCTTGAACTCTGGTGTATTTTCTTCCAGTTGGAAAAAATGTCAATTTTTCCCATAGGCTAAAGCATGAAAATGTGGGTGTGGGAAGGATTGAGAGCCAATGTGGTGTAGTGTGACTAGGATGAGACTGAGACACGCAATCTGAGTTCTAGTCCATGCTTAGCCATGGGGCCAACTGTGTGACTTTGGGCCAGGCACAGATTCTCAGCACAACCTATCTCATGGGGTTGTTGTTGCAGGGATAAGATTGAAAGCAGGAGAAGGGGTTAATGTAAGCGTCTTTGAGTTCTTGTAAGAAAAAAGTGGGATATAAATCAAATAAATAAATAAATTTGCACAATTGTCAGTTTTCCGAAGCAGCATTTCTGCATGCCGCTTTTGAATATAAATGCAAGTTCAGGTTCTTGTGAAAACTCCCTGAGATTGTGTTCCTGTTCGCATTTTTGGTTATGTACAGGAGATTCTTGTATGTTTTCAAAAGAACAAAATGCTCAGAAATCCCTAGGCAAAGGTGGCCAAGGCTTAGAGAGGCTTGTAAACTTGTCCCAATTCCTTGCCAGCTTCTCAGTGAGACCTAGGAAAAATACTAGCATAAGGAAAGGCTACCAACTGCAGAACATCTTTTTGTTCCAAGTCAGAGTGTGTTAATTCCAGAAACATTTGTTCTTTGATACCTCTCATTTCATAAATTAACACCAAGGTTAGTTCTTTGCTTTGCTTGCGATTCTGTTGCTGTGGCAGATGTTTGCTCATCAAGTCTTCTCATATGGCATTGTTTCTGTTCATTTACTACAGTGCTGAAAAGTTACAATCCTATGCATAGGAGAAAAGGTGATCAAAGGGTGCTGCATTTTCTGCTACAAAGTTTTAGTGCTAGCACAGAGGCAATATTTAGGTTCCATGGACATTTTCACTAATGTTTGCCTGGGGCTCCCAAACAAAATGTAACAACCTTTCTTACAGCAGTGAACAGAATGTTCTGCTTCTGTTCACCAAATTGTTTCTAAATTCTGTCATGCTACTAAGATCACCTTTCCTTCTTAAAGAAATGGTCATTATGAAGGCAGAAAATGGACATAGTTTCAAGGATTTCTTTATCATGCTCCATACTCAAAGAGTCATTAACGTTTTCTTTATATATCATTTGAAACATTGTTTTGCACAAAATTAAACATATAAAATGTGCATTCCATGTTTTCCTCATATAGAATGTCACAAGCAATAATCAAGATCTGAAAGTAGGGAAATGAAATGTAGCGGAGAAACTAGCTGAGCTTTTCGTATATCATTGCTGATTTGGGAAAGACTTTTCGAATCATGATGCATGTAGCTTGGCCTTAGGCCAAAAGTAAGTGTCAAAAGTTAGAAAAGTTGTGCCAAGTTGTTGGCACTTTATTCTATTTAAAGTTGCAAGTTTAATTTTTATTTTAAGTTTTTTGTTCTCTGAAATTTAAGGATTAATCCTCTCTGGGACTAGTGCAGTCTGCAAGATTCTTTGCACCACACTTAGGCTTCTGTATCACACGTGCCACAGTTTCTGACACAGGGGAGGCTGAGTGTATTTTCATTGCTCCCCTGACATGGGGGAGGCTTGCTGGCATCCAAGTTGTAGATCTAGCACAAACCAGGATGTCCCTAAGGTAGGCATTTTGCTATTTTAGGAATGAGCCTGGAGCCCTCCAATTCTGAAAAGGTTCTATTTCCATTGAGGTTTCAGGCTATATGCCAGTGTATAGATTGGTATTCATAGCTTTTAGAATATCATCTGAATATTAAATATATTAAGGGGCTGGAGCAGCTCCCCTATGAGGCATAATTGGTGGGAAATTCAGAATTCCAATCTTAAAATCCTCCCCTATCCAAAACCCTTCCAGCAAGAGCCAGGTGGGGCAGGAAGAGGATGGAGACTCTATATCCCTTTGCCCCTGTATTTTAAATATTTGCAGGTAGGTGTACCTCTTCTATCTGTATTACTTAACCAGGCACTGGTGGGTCAACACTGGAGAAGCTTTTGGATTGAGCAGATCCAGTCTTCACCTCCTCTCTCCCCTCCGTTCACTAATATGCCACCTTTTCAGCCACATCTTTTTCTGAAGACACTACTGCATCCATGGGAAAGAAATCACCATGGTGTTTTCCCTGGTGCTTTTGCAGAAGAGTGGAAAATTCTCACTTGGTTCCTGCCCTAGTGATCACAGCTGTCTCTGCATCTGGAGGATAGGAAATCCACACCTCTCTGTGGCTCCTCGTATGCTGTCTGAGAAGTAATAAGATTGCTCTGCCCATGTTTAATGCATCACTGTTTTCAACTTTCATATTTTTATTGTGTTTTCAGTTGTTGTGCACCACCTTGATAGCTTTTCATCTATCAGAAATAAGGAATGAATGAATGAATCCATCTGAGACAGAATAGGAGACCTCTAGAGTCTTTCAGGATTCCAAACAGAGAAACCCTCTTTTTATCAACAGAATTTCAGAATGATCCCATAACCTCTAGCCATTGTTTGGGCAGCTATAAGATTGTTTGGATTCCCAGCTCCAGTATCAGAGACATGTTCTGATCTCTTAACTGGGGATCAGAGCTCCAGGATCCCTCCTCTAACTCTCACAATTGGTACAAAATGGTACACATGGATGCAACTTCTCAAGGAAAGAAAAACTACCTCAAAGCAAGTTTAAAGGGGTCAACTTAGAGGTAGGGAAGGGAGGAGACTTGGGTGGCCAGGATATAAGGAAATATTAGGCCACTGCAGAGATGGTGCAATTGATGTGTTCTATTTGTGATAGTCTACTGGCTTATCAGTTAAAAATTTGCTTTGAGAAACTAGCATAGTTTGACTAGCTCAATTTAGAACTGTGAATTTTGCCTGCCTCTAAGTTACATCCAGTATATCTCATGATCATTCGAGCCTCTCTGCAGTCAAGGACTTAGCATCCTTTCTCGTATACATTTTGAATTGACCAAATTTCATTCCCCTATTGTCACAAAAGCAATGTACATCCTGTAAAAATGCTTGTCATCCATATAAAGCTATTTAGTTTGCTGAAGATTTTGATTTGCAGTTGTTCTGTGCATGTGAATGGTACCCAAAGGTCCCTGTTCATACTGGGATCTCTGTTTGCTGAGCTTTTATAAAAAGATTTAGATTTCAGTCCCTGCCTCTTAAGAAAATCCTGTGCACATTACTGAATGGCTGCAGGGATGGAGACAGGAGACCAGGTTGACATTAATAGGTGCAGGTTTGCTTGTATTTATAGCCAAGAGAACAATCTGGGACTGCAGACAAGCTTGAGTGTTGATTTATCAGATTAATAGAAAAGAGACACTGATGAATCACTAAGAGGCAAAATGTCTAGCCATTCTCATGATGCAGCTTATCATGTGCATCCTGGCAAAGAAGTGTCATTACAATGGATTTGAGATTTCACTTTTTGCCAGATTACTGCTTGATGGGAGTCCATCAAAGGGATTTAGCATTGTGGGATGGTATTCTGGCTTTTTGGGGGGTGGGGGGAGGGAACTTAAGCTAGCAATAGCATACATCAATTGCTGCCAAGATCACAGATTTAAAACATCCCACATGATTTGACAGTTCAGAGTATTGTAATGTTTGGACTCACCATGGAACTATATAAAAGACCAAATAAGCGTTGTTCAGTAAAGTGTTGGTCTGATTAAATCCCCTGGCTATGTGGAGGAAAACTACCAATACTGATATGATTTCATAGATGAAACATAATGATATGACAACTTTTTAGAAAATACTGAAGGCAAGGAGTGCACCCATTTCCTCTGGTGTGCTTCAGACCAAGAATAGAAGCTTTCCGCCTTTCAAGTGTTGTGTTAATAAAGCGCCATAATCATATAATAATTATGGTATTATAATATAATAATATATTATATTATAACATTATATTACTGTTATAAGTATTATACCTGTATCAATTTTGCTTTAGCTCTTCATGCGGGGAAAAATGGCTGGTAGTATAAGAAATATGGTTAGAGCACATTTTAATAATACAGAATAAATTTAAAGCTGAATCCAGAGAGAAAATGATAATCGCTGTCTCTAGAATCCAAATGAAGGCTATAGTAAAATCATTGCCATCTCTTCACTGATGCTTAATCCAATGCACAGCCTTGAATCAGAAGCGGGTGGTTGCATTCAACTGCAGCTGATGGGAAAGTTTCAGGTTTCAGGAGCTATCCTTGGTACTCCAGGGTAGCGGGTTTTTTTGCGGGGATGGAATCCAGCACCATGGATCACTCCTATAATGCTGAAAAGCTGCAGTGGATGAAGAGCTCTGTGGACCCAGGAATCACCAGCCTTCCCTACTTTCATAATGTTCTATTCTAAGTCAGAATTCCCACAGTTCCTGTTGACAATGGAAGATCACAGCATGTTCTAAAGGCTGCAGAACAGAGTACTGAAAACTAAGCTCTGGCCTAACATTTCCCCTCCGCATTTCTGGAAATCTGTGAGAAAAAAGAGACTGAAAATTGACTAATGGGTAGACCAGTAATATGGAGAAAGTACCCCAGCATGGGTCTTTGTGAGCTCTGGAGAATCCTCCAAAAAGGCTTGGAAAGACCCGGCGTATACTAAATCAAGGTCTACACGTAGTTTGGAAACATGACTGGATGATGAAGCTAAGCCAGTCTGTCTAGAAGAACAATAGCCCAGGCAATAGCAAGATGCCCTTCACCATGTGTTACATACATTTGTCATAGTCATAATTTCATGTTTCTTTGGTTGTCCAGATACCTTTACGTTCTGCAGACAAGGCTGTTCAACAGCTGTGTATTCTTTATATTTATGTTAAACAACCAGTTTCAAAGCAAGGATTGTTCATTCAGATCTCTAGGTTCAAGCACTCAGTAGACAAAGGGGAAGTTTTGTACAGAATGCTGAAGTAAGACAATCTTATCCTTCTCCCCATCTCCACTCCTTGTATCTCCATGTGTCCTGGTCTCATCTTGTGAAAAAAAAATGAAATTTCAGTCTAACCAGATGAGGGACAAATACAACTCTTTTTTATTCATTATGTTTCTTTTTGGAACTAAATACTAATCACACTTATACCTGCCTTTGACTGTAGACCCTTAATATAGTTACACCTCGAGTACGGCCAGAAGATTGCAGCATTGGACTCTTGCCAAGGAACCATGACAAGAACCGCTGCATGGATGTACTCCCCTTGGATCGGTGCCTCCCCTTCCTTATCTCTGTTGATGGGGAATCAAGTAACTACATTAATGCTGCACTCATGGATGTAAGTAAAACTCACACCTAGGATTCATCTTTGTCCGTCACACCTGTAATTCAGGAAGCTGTCCTGTATTGATATATATTGTCCATTGATCTAACCGGGTTTACCCCTTAACAGTGGATAGAGTTTGAAAGCTAATTCTTGTTTGAACAATTACATGCCAAATGTATGCTGCATCCCTGCACTCCCTCCTCTTGCTTTACTATGAACAGCTCAGGTATGTATTTTATTTGATGTTGGTTTTCTTTTCTTGAAAACACATCAAACAAGTGAAGGATGGAATAGTCAGAGTTCAGTGGCATTCAGCCTTGATTACATCCACTGGGAATATTAATGTTGATTCTTTCTCCCACCCTAGACAGGGACCTTGTTTTCACTAAGATGGGTTTGACCACCTCAGGCTAGAGAAGTTTCACATGATGGAACACTCCCTATCCCTAAAAATCAAGCATGTCAGGGAGCATTTGCATCCACTTCCCTGATATGCTACTTTTCTATGAGAATGGCTTTGCTTTTGCTTTTTGAATGAAAGAACATCTAAACACTCAAGTTCCTGCTTACAGTTTGAAGCAATAGTGCCAAGACACAGATTTACTACCACAGTGAGAACTAGGCCAGAAATTCAGTCTACACTAGAGGTGTGCACTGACCATAAGATTTAACTTGAACCCCAATTTGGTGCTTTGACTGATTAGGACACAGTCTACTTTGACTTGGGTACCCAACCCAGGTCTGAACTGTGTGCCTCTCAATGACGAAAATGTTAAACAGAAAAAATAAGTATACCTTATTTTTGTGTGTCTGAAGTGAAGCCTTGCAGGCATAGTAGTTCCTTAGGAGAGGATTATGTCTGCCTAATTTCAGGGGAAAAAAGGGTACAGAGACATTTTTGCATTTGTGCTCATCATCATCATCATCATCAGCAGCAGCAGCAGCAGCAGCAGCTGACAACATCTCTCCACCTGCCACCAGCACAAGTAGTGTCTGGAATGTCTCTCTCTGAAATTCTTGAGAGTTATTGCCAATTGCAATGGTTGAGGATTTTGTTCCCAGTTGGAAATGAAGTGACATGCTTTGTACCTTCCAAATGAATGATTATCCTTCAAATTCTATACTTTTAAAATATTGCTGTACTATTTCTGAAAATGCATACTTATTTTAGATAAATGCATATGAAGTTATGTACATATTTTTTTAAAAAGTCCTTTGCAGATCCTCTGCCTCAGTTTAACCTACAGATGATCAGTCCTAAGAGATTCAGGCAGAATATCCACAAGTTAATTGCAAAATGTCACACCACAATCTCTGTGTGTTTGCATGTGTGTGTGGTGGTAGTGGTGGTGAACCCACCATTTCTTCCTGCCTGCATGGAAAAATATTTCCTATACATGATGTGCCTTATCTTTCACCTGTTCTTGTGATACAGTGTTATTGCTTAAACCCAGAACGAATGTAGATAAATCAAGTGTACTGATCTTGCAAACCAATATTTTTCTTCCTTCTTTTCTTCTTTGTTTAATGTGTGCTCAGTGGGGGCTATTATTATTATTGTGAGAATTATTGCCATACAGTCAAATCTTTGTATCTCTTCCTACCTTTTCTCCAGAAATCTTAAGGTGCTTTTAGATACAGTATGTAGTCTTGTCGAAGTGATTCAGAGGCACTGTGATAGTTGGCATATATCTGTTATCTAACACTTGAGTGAGCAAAGGCCTTTACTGCTTCACTAAGCAGAAGCTGTTTTCTGCACAAACCGTCTGTGTCTAACTCGTGAGTTGAGCAGCTGCCAGCAATAAAAGTACTGTATTTTTCACATTTACAAAGGTTGCACAGTGATCAATTCTCCTTCAAAGCTGCAGTAATTCTCATGTCTCACAGTCTCCTTCTGATCATCTGTCTCTTGCCCTTGTTATAGACTTGGGTTTTCTTTTGCCTTTAGACTAAACCTCAGCAGTGGCCAATGAGGTAATGCGCAGGCGAGTTAGAGGGAAGAGGGAGCCCACCAACCAAAGGTGTGCAATGTCCTTAGCGGCCGAATGTGCAATCCAGTGATGGAGGCAGGTGGCACTGGAGGCAGGCAGGGCTGATAGATTAGGCATACCCATCAGCCCCTGACAGCTGTACTCAGTGCCCCTAGCCAGTCAACACCGGCATTCCTCCATGGTGCTCACTACAGCTACCCCTGCTTCTTCCCACTTCAGGTATCTTGAACTTCCTTGGGTTCTTCTCTCAGTTGCCATTTCTCCTCCCTGCCACTTAAGGGAGGCAACTTCTTCCTGTCTCTGAACTCCCCACACATCTCATCAGTTACTGCTGCTATCCATGTCATCCATCCCCCTGCTATTTCTGCATTATTAGAGAAAACATCAGTGCAAGAAGAGTATGAACCTGCCAGTTTTCTCAGAGATCCATGTTATGTGACATATCTTTTATAGTGAATGCTGAAATGTTGGTGAATGACACCATTCACACAGGAACCCCGAGGGAACCCCAGATTAATTTATGACTGCTGCAAGATATTAGGTCATATGCACATTCATATTGGCAAACATGCACTTCTACTCACACATCCCATTCTCCAAGGGTCAGGGGATAGCAACATGGCAATCTATAGATGCCACATAGACTATGCTTAAGAGCAACATAGTCTGAAAATAGAACTCTCATGGGAACTATGGCTTCCATGGGTGTATCTGGAATTATTAGCCATGGGTAACCTGAAACCAAATGCAGTTCTGGCAATGCGTTTGAAACTAGAATTCATTTCAAATGGTGAATTAGGGCACCATACAGTTAGTAACAGCTATGGTTAACAATACAAGCTTAATGTTAAATCATAGTTAATGGTAGGGGAAATCATACAGTGGAAGAAGGAATTATATATGATAGAAAGAAAGCAAAAGGGAGCAGCTACATTCAACCTTGTAGCCCATTTCCAATCCCTTAGTTCTGGTTGGTTCTGCATTAACACTGGTCCTGTTTTGCCTTGGATTGGTAGCAGTATTTTAAGTACATCTTGCATGACTTTAAAGTGCTAGCTAATTGTTTTAAGACACTGAATGTCTGCTTTTCAGATCAACCTATATCCTAATCCATGTGCATTCCACAGATGTTCAGAAGGGATCTTTAATTTGTAATCCACAGTTGAAATGGAATATTACTGTACATATAATCTCTATTTATGCCAGCATTTCCTTATACTGTAAGGTCAAAGCCCAGGAATTTTGTAAATCTTTATAATGCTGATGGCATTGACAACAGCAGGACCCAGCTTTCCTGACAGAAAGGGCTTGGGTAGTTTAATCAGAAGCAATAGTGGACAGCTCTTCTGTACTGTAAGCATTTGTGTAGAAGAAGTAATATTGGCAAGTGCAGTTTGTCAACCCTGATGTTGCAAGCTGAAGACAAATTGCACTTGCCAAAATTCTGCTTCCGCACAGCTATTGGAAGTACAGGAGCTTTATTCACTACAAAATCTGAGCACCTTCTGATAAACTGTACAGATTCTCATTTTACAGCATTATATTCTGAAAAAGTTGATGGAAAAAAGTTAATCCTTTACATGAACACAGATATGTACATGTGTGTGTATGAGTGCATGCACACACACACACACAAACATGCATCAAATAGAACATTTAAAGCAAAGGTTAGGTTTTTGTGTGTGAGTTTGGGGCGTCTGCATTCTTTCCTTTTCTTCCCCTTCTTCTATGCAGCTATGAAGAGATTTGAAGTGTTACTTCCATTTCCATTGAAGCATTTCCACTGAAGCTTTGCTTCTGGTCCTTGCATCTCAAAGTGGACAAACTGTAGTTGGTACATTAATAAGCAAGGAGCAAAGCATGTTAATGACCCTTCTTTGTTTTCTAAAGCACAGTTAACACAGACCCCAGTTCCCTGGCACAGATAACATTTGGACACAATTTGCTTGAAACCAGAACAAAATCTTTCAGTCTCCTAGTGGCTGTGCTAGAGAAGGGGGGAGCACATGAACCCAGGGCTTGCACATGTTACCTCTAAAGTATGCTTCAGCATCATGTGTAAACAGAGCTACTACAGCATGGGTCCTCAAACTATGGCCCACGGGACGGATCCGGCCCGCCATGCCCATTCATCCAGCCTGCGAGCGTGGGAGGTGGTGGCAGTTTGCTCACTTGGAGATGGTTTTTGACTAGTTGGGAGCTCCCCCAGAAAGTTCAAAACCATCTGTGAGCAAGCAAGCCACTGCTGCATGCCTCCCCCAGGCACGCGTGCTCGCCACTGCCTTGCAGCGTGGACTGGAGGCGGTGGCTTGCTCGCTTGAAAATGGTTTTGAATTCACTGGGAGATCTCCGAGTGAGCAAGCCGCCGCCGCCACACACACCCAATGCCATCTCGCATGCACCCGATGTCACCTCACCAGCCTGTGTGCCCAGCCCCCTCCCTCCTCACTGACCCGCGCATGTAGCCACCGCCTTTCAACTGGCCCCCTATTGAAAAAGTTTGAGGACCCCTGTGCTACAGTATGTCTTTCAGTTTCCTCATTCCCATGGCAGCCACTTTCTCATGGCTGTGTTTAATCCTGCATTATGCTTATTAAAAACCGAAGCCAACACTGATTCATCAACAAGTCTACTGGTCAGGGCCAAGTCCTCACTCTTATATGGCAGCTTTGAACCTGCACTGCTAGACATGTCAGTAAGTCATGTCCATTAATGGTCAGAATAATGTTCTTGCCCTCTTGGGTGTTAATGCATGTTAGAAACCAATCATGTGCAGAGATAGCCTATTGGAGATTCTATCCTCTGTTCAAATGACTGTGCATAAGTTGGGGCCACACAATTCCACATGTGTTCACTTGGCTTAGATACATGCCTGAAAACAGAAATGCACACAGAGGTACTCTTCCGTATTATGCCTTTACACAGGACCATGTGTATTTATTAATTTATTTATAACTTTTCTCTACCATCCCATATTTAAAAGTCTCGAGCCAGTTTACAGTATGGTGCCACAGGATGATCAAGGGCAGATATGCTGATGAACAGTTATGTCATATATCAACACTTATCAGGGAAACTGAATTGGTCACTTGTTTTTTCTTGCATAATAATTGAAATAGACCCAAGAGAGAAGAGGATGTGCATAAACATTGGTCAGGATCCAAAGAACAGTGAAAGTTGTTGCATGAGACTAAAGGGCTTCAGACATGTTCTTTACTAGTAGTTTTCTTCACATGTCAGAAGGCTTTTGGAATGAAGCTTCAAGAGCATTTTCTATGACAACAGTTAAAAGAAGTAAAGGATTCCAGTGTGTAAGCTTAAGCAGCTCTATAGATCTTTTTTTGTTTTTGTTTTTGGTTTTTTTTTTTTGGTTTTGGATGTCCCCCCCCCCCCCCATCTTTAGGCAAAAAGTAATTCTGGCTTCCAGTTTTCACTTTCAGTCATTTCCTCTATTATTACAATTTTGCTGAGTCCTAACACATACATAATTCTTCAGTGCTAATCTTTGTTCTTATGCCACTTCTCTAATGAAATGTCTTCCTTGGGATTCTGTTACAAAGGCTTCATTCATTCAAAGTACAGTGATAATAAGGAGTGTGAGGTGCAATTTGGATAATCTGGTTACATGGATACATTTGCCTATCCTCAGCCTCACAGATTTAACCTTTTTCTGAATAAATGGGGAACAGTTTTTCCCACTAATATTAATCTTTTTCCTCTTCTCTCTCCCTGCATCCTTTGTCAGAGCCACAAACAACCTGCTGCCTTTATAGTTACCCAGCATCCATTGCCCAACACTGTAGCAGATTTTTGGAGGCTGGTGTTTGATTACAACTGTTCCTCTATCGTGATGCTAAATGAAATGGATGCTGCACAAGTAGGTATATCTCTAAGGATACAAATATATGCAGATCAGGCATTTTCAGCAAAGCTAAATAATGTGTCCAAAATAGAAATATATTCAAACTAATTCCTATAAAGCACATCCCTGAAAGTATTCATTTTTCTTGGGATCTCAGGGTGAGATATGGGCCTTCCTTGATAGTCAAGGCATCTTCCCTGATTTGTTTCAAATCACTGTGGGGTTGGTTGTCCATAACTGTCATATTTGGGATGGCTCAGAGCTTTATGACTGACATGACGGCAGTGGGCTATCTCAAGATGTCATTGGTGCACTGCATGCTTGAACCGACATGCTCTCAGTTTGCTTTTTGCAGGCAGTAAAATGATGGGTGATTTTATATCTAGTCTGTTGTCATAGTTGCATCACTTTCTCCTGAGGTTTAAGCTTACAGCAAGGACCTATAAAAGCGAGCAGTTTCTAGAGCCTCAGAGATTCTGCTGGATCTCAGAGGGTTATGGATTTTATGGCAGGTCTGCCTCATGGTCTTATCAGTAGCTTTATTGTTCTGTCAAATGCAGAGATGATATATCATGCCAATTGCTGCATTCTGCTCCTGGGACCAAATGATGGTGAAGTCTTCTCTCCCCCCACCCTTTTTGGTTAAAAAAGAGGGAAGGGAAGGGAAGGGAAGGGAAGGGAAGGGAAGGGAAGGGAAGGGAAGGGAAGGGAAGGGAAGGGAAGGGAAGCTTTCTGACCCTCCATTTGTAATGATAAACTTTTTCTGTCAGATATAGCCCCCCAAATGTAAACATATCAGCCAATATTGATATCCTTGCAACTGGTATCTTCCCCCAAATAGTCCTATGAAAGTAAAATGGGTAAGTACATTTGGCCTAGGTTTACTGAGGAGTCAATATAGTTCTCGGTATCTTGAACCATTCATTAATAGTGAGCTATACATGAACCAAATTCAGCCCCTTTACCAGCCTGTGCAACCCCTTCTGCTTGTATTACAAAAAAAAAGTTTCCACATCAACAGTTTAGATCAATGCTATGGAGTGCTAAGTGGGCCCAATTTAACTAGTTCTAAAGTTAAATTGGGTCTATTCAGTGCTCCATAGTGCTAATATAGCCTCTCTTTTTAAAAAAGTGTGTAACTGGTAGTAGCTCATGCATATGCAAATAATCGCCAGTCAGCCTGGAACTGCCTTCCACTGCCTTCCAATTCATGATATTAATCTGAACCAGAGAAGTCATGATTCAATCCAACAAGATTAAGCCTTAAGCCATGAAATAATTCACTGCATGTTTTTGTTAGTTGTGGGTGCTGAAAAGTGTAAAAAAAAATAAGTGTGGGAGTAAAGAGGACGGGGAAAATGCCTTTATAGTACTAAGGTATACTAGTACTATGTATAATACTTCTTGAAGTACATGCACAGATTTTAGGAAATACATGAACTAACAAAAGGTGAGCACAATCCCCTCTTACAATAATGATCTCCAGCGTCAAGAAAGGGGTTGGCCAAGTCCCTTTCCAGCTTAGTTACACTGATTGTCAATTAGGTGTGGAAGACTAGGAGGCAGAAGCCTGACACCTTTCCCTTCCCTTGCATTATAACTCATATTTTTCTATGGTAGGTCAACCATGCTCAAGGTTTCCATAGCATAACTTTTCACTGGATGTTTTGGAATTTCATGTGTCAAATCCCACTTTTTTCTTTTGATTTATTATCCATTTACCTTTCTCCATGACCAGCTCTGTATGCAGTACTGGCCGGAGAAGACATCCTGTTGTTATGGCCCAATCCAAGTGGAATTTGTTTCTGCTGATATAGATGAAGATATTATTAACAGGATATTCCGGATCTGCAACATGGCAAGGGTAAAGAGACGTCAGCTTCTCATTACCAGTTTATATTCTGATCTCTTCTCCTTCTCAATTTACTGCTCTGTCCAGAGCTTGTGTTCTCTTTAAATCCCACCTACTGTGCCTGTAGTTTCTGTCTCTGTAACTAGGACATAACCTGCTTCCTACCGTGTTTCCCTGGAAGCTATACTTTCCCCAACTATTCTACCTTTCCCTGTTCTTACTCCAGGCAGATGCCTCCTCTAAGTGAGGTTTGCTAGCACTTAACACGAACATTTCCTACCCCTTCCCTTGATGTTGTATAATCAGTCTTCCTGAAAAAGGAAATCGTAAGAACTATTTTAGTAATTCTGCTGGCATAATTAAAGAATTTAGGGGACTGTATGCCTTCTACATTGAAGTGCCAACTGGAATAAATTCTTCTGGAAATATTTCCCTGGTACAAAAGCCTGAGGTTGTTGATTTGTTTGGAATCCTTCTGTTGTGGAAGGGAGGAGCACATGGTCCTTCAGTTCCAACACATGGTCTTCTGAGAGCAGATAAAAACTTGCATGCAGTTCCTTTCTACAGTCAAACTCAATATATAATTATTCCTCCTTAGCCCCAAGATGGGTACCGTATTGTCCAGCACTTGCAGTATATTGGCTGGCCAGCATATAGAGACATACCTCCTTCCAAGCGGTCTCTCTTGAAGGTGGTCAGACGGCTGGAGAAGTGGCAGGAGCAGTATGACGGGCGAGATGGACGGACTGTGGTCCATTGCCTGTAAGTATTCTACTCCTTTGTCTTCTGTGCTAAATATTGGTTGCACACTTGGGAAGAATCACTGATTAAAAAGCATCTTGATGGATCTAGCCATGTTTGCATGCTTCCGTGTCCACTAATGAGCTTGGAGAAGCTATTCAGTGGTGCCAGTGTTATCAGGCTGGGTCTAGTTGCCATTTAAATAAACAAAAAAAACCAGTGTAGTATCACTCCAGAGCCTTGAGGGGAATTTGAATGGTGATTCGATCCAGCACTTAAGCAGGTAACTTGAAAATGTAACTTGATCAGTAGAGGAAGAATAAAAGGGACCTCAAGGCAGAGGTCAGAGATAGAAACTGCCTAACCTTAACCCTACCCTAGATTCACTGAAGAACAGAGCAAAATAGTTCTTAACCAAATATACCAGGAGACGAGGAGTGCCATCCAGTGAGACCATAAACCTCTGAACCTGAAGTATTATGAACATTCTGTGGGGGGTCAAGGAGCATGGAATGAAGTTAAGTTTAATCTTTGCTCTCTGGGCAAAGCATTCTGATGGCTAAGAAAAGGAGGTTGAGGTGCCTCCAGGATACTCTATACTCTTTATGCTGGTGGTGCTTGTCTCTTTCCTTCCCAGTACCCCAAAATGCCCAGCACAGGTTCTTTGTATGCCATTTTCTAAGCAGAGGGAGGACAGTCCCAAGTTTACGGCAAGTTTTCAAAGTCAGAGTTGGAGCTCCAAATACTCCTATGGCTTTCTAAACTGTTTAGCAGCTATAGGATTGTGCTCTTACTAAGCTAATTCAAGGTGCTAAGACAACAATTTGGGGAATTTTTAAAAATCCCTTGTTTCCATATTTCAGTGGTAAGAAATTCCAAGGACAGTTGCTCCTGGATGAGAAAGTACTTATGCTACTTTTGAAGGCTTGTATATCTGTTGTAAGCTGCCCCGAGGCTTTGTTGCGATGGGGGCAGCATAAAAATGTGTTAAATAAATAAATAAAATACCATCAAAAAAGGCAGACCAATCAGACATAATCTTAGAAGTGGTTCAGGAAAGTTAACAAGAAAGACATTTTTCAACAGCGTTGTTAGCTGCTGCTAAGTCTTTTTGATGACCATATTATTAATCACACTTCTAAGTAGCATGAATGGATTTATTCAGCCTTCTATTTAAAGACTGATTTACTATTATGTTAATGTTAATACTATTACTATTATGCTAATTTCCTGAGAGGCCACCAATGAAGCCTGCTGACAAATGTTTTTGATTGTTCTGTTACAGTTTTTAGGTGAAGTAATATATTGATGCATTTGTCATTGCTAGATTGTTATAGCATTTGTATTCATTTGTATTAAAGAATATTGTATGGAAGCATGTATTTCATTTCACTTGGGCTTTCGTTGAACCTATCCAAGATTGTCTAGTGTTGATACTGGCCCTGATTTGGTTCAGTGCCATTCTTCTAAGTCAAGGTGTTTCACACCCAGCAAACCTTGGTCTGCAGAATGAGATGTCTTCTCAATCCTTGGAATATTTGTGTATCAACACATGAAGGACAGTGAAGGGCCATTTTTATTAACCTTACCTTGAATGTCCCTGAATTGATTTTCTCTGCGTGCATAGATGCTACAGACACAAAAGTTGTACCTCACATTTTTAGGGAGCTGCTAGTGTTTCTTATAGTCTTCACCTAAATATAAATTGTCTACATTTCTAAACCATTTCTTCTTTCTGTGTCTAGGAATGGTGGTGGCCGCAGTGGCACCTTCTGTGCGATATGCAGTGTGTGTGAAATGATCCAGCAGCAAAACATCATTGATGTGTTCCATATAGTGAAAACCTTACGAAACAACAAATCCAACATGGTGGAGACACTGGTAAGTACAGAGGGTAGGACAGGTGTACAGAAGAATACATCACAGATAAGATGCTTATAATTTGGGCTGGTTTAATTTTTTGCATCACTTTGGATCCTTCTGCTCCTTGTAGTGAAAAATGCACAGTTACTAATTTGGCATACTAGTTCTTTGCTCTTACACATCCATTTTGAACGCTGTTGATTTCATTTTATAAAAAATAGCAATAAAGTTCAGGTTCCTATCCAAAACCATACTAAGGAATCAGGGAAACTATTTACTTAAATACTGTACATGCTTATTTATAAAAAAATAACAATATAAATATCTTATTTTCAGTAGTAAATAATAATCACATCTCTTTTTTAGACATCAAACAAAATAGCTACACCTGCTGTAATATAGCATTCTTAAAGTTCATAAAACATGAGGTCAAAATTTTCTGACTTCCATGTATATTCTTCAGTGTTGACACTGCATGTTAGTGAACCTAATTTGGGGGCATAGTTCAGCATGGATAGCTTCTATCATGATAAAAGGTGTTATGGATCAGGAGCCCCACTAACATAGTAGTTACTAGTGAGGGCTGGTTATACTATCCAGTGTCAGCAAAGGTATAGAACAACTTGATTGAAAATGTAAGAAAGGGAAAATGTGTGGCAGTTTCCTATGATATCTACATGCTACTGGGACTCAGCATTAGTGCAACAGAGAACTAGGGGATCCTGAAGTATGTGGGAATGCATTAAAATGCTTGTTTCTGGGACTGACAGGTCCACTGTGCTTGCAAAGGGGAATTCCACTAACCTGCCCTATCCTAAAATTAGTTCCAATTCATTTGGGGAGTTAAGAAGTGTTAGGAAGGGTTCCATGGGTTTAACAGGTACGTCAGATGCACAGCAGCTATGCATACCTTGAATCTCTTAAGCATTGCCTCTTTCTTTCACCATACTTTTCTGTCTCTTTTGTATTCCGTTCTTCTCTTCTAGGAACAATATAAATTTGTATATGAGGTTGCCCTGGAATACTTGAGTTCTTTTTAGCCCCTGAGGGCAAGAAGCTTGCTGAATTCCAAAAGCCTTGATGTTTGAAGGACACTGGTTCCCCCTTTACTACAAAGGAGTAATGGAGTGGAGAGTGTAAAGCTCTTCACCCTTGAATGAGTGACCAGGTCAGATCTCAGTGCCATTGGAAGAAGGAGAGATCAGCTGCCGTCTCTCACATTTTAGACAACCTACTGTACAAATTGGCAAAGCAGGAGGCAAGCTGGAAGACTCTGCTTTCTAATCCCTTTTGACTGCTTCTCTTCGCCATTTTGGATGTGTATTTTTTGTTTCTCCTTGATACAAATAGGGAAAAATACTGGGATAATCCATCGTCTTTCAGCTCTTCTTTCTGTTTCCCCACAAATCCTCACTTTATGTTTTTTTTTTCTTTCATTTATCAGCTATTTGGCAAGGGAGGAAAGCTTCAGCAGACACACATTAAGGCTTTCAGCACAGTAAGCCTTTGTGATCACTTTTTCAAATGAAAAGGCCACATCATGGAGCTATAATTTTCTGTCTGCTCCCATTGTCTTTGAAGCAGGCCATGGAACCAGGAAGCTGCTGGCTAATTTGCTGCCTTGGTTGTTACACCACGTTACTAGATTTCCGATGTTCTGCATGGGTTAGCTACATCTTAATTGTTTCTATCAGCTTCAGCACTGCTGAAATAATTCTGTAAAATCACACCTTCCAGCCATCTAAATTAAGGGCATCTTAAAATTACCTTAATGCTTCAAAGGATAATTGGTTTTTTATTTGTACTGAAGTTAATTTTATTTAACCATAAGTATTTGTTTGTGTGCAGTGTCTCTTTAAAACAGGTTGAACTAGAAGGATGGACTTATATCTGCTGGTTGTAGTACAGTATACTTATCTTGAAGGTTGTCTTCACTATCAATGCAGTCTTTTCCTAGGGGCAAGTTCTGTCATGTGGTAGAAGATGGTCAAATTGGCAAAGTCAGTGCAATCTGGATTAACCAACAGAGTAGGAGACATTGACTGTAATGACCGATCTTATAAGACTAGATAATAGCAATTACTTCTTCTGCTAGATGAACTATATTTTTTATGAAAGGTATAATAGATGAACACATTACGAGTTTGCAGGATAGTCAAGCATACCTTTACATATTAGGCTTTCCAGTCAAAAGTCCCCAGACAAGGCACATGATAGAGCTGTCTGACTATGGAAGTGGAAAGATAGGACCTTCCTTGGAGGTGATATTGCCTAGAATAAGGAAGAATAGCTAAAATAAAAATATGACTTAGTATTAACGTTTGTATTGTTTGACAGCTCTTTGAACAAAGCAATTCCTAATTGGTACATGATAAAGTGTGGGTTATACTTCATAACAAAAACACTTTGCTTTTTTAGTTTTATAAAAGGCAGAAGAGATATATAAATAGCTCTATATACTTCATCTCCAAAATAAGATCTGCTTGCCTTTAAAAGCAGAGAATTCAGGTAGAAGTTGGGAAGCACATTCAGAGAGAGTAAACAATGGTATGTTATTAGTGGGGGGGAAGTCAACATTATATTCTGCAGATTTTTTTTTTCCTGTGTGATGTCAAGAAGCAAGTTTTGGAATGAACACCAGGCAATTCTGCCATGTTGCCTCAGGTCAACAATTATATTTTGAAGTTGTAGAGCCATGTGAAAATGGGGTAATGTGAAAGGGCCACTTTGTTTCATTGTGGGCCATGGGGCCTGTTGAAATGATGTAGGAATTGCAGTTGTTCAATATTTTTATATGTATAGCCATCATTAATTAGCCATTAAATTTCTTTGGAAAGGAAAGGAAAGGAAAGGAAAGGAAAGGAAAGGAAAGGAAAGGAAAGGAAAGGAAAGGAAAGATGTTTTCCTTTAATTTTACCCAATGCATTGTGCTTGCACTCACAAAGCTGCATAGACATCCCAGAAGAAGTCATTGTACAAAAAGTGTGGCACAAACATGGCATCATAATTAATGGGAAGGTGACAATAGTATTTTCCGGAGCTCTTCACCAATGTGTGCTCAAACCAGAATTTTGGTAACCATTACAGATGTGCAAAACCCATCCTTTCCAAAAGTCTGCATTATAAATTTGGGACACTTACCTGCAGAACTAGATATACAGTTTTTGCAGTACAATTGTGCATCAATCAATCAATTCATGTAAAAGACATCATGTTCTGCATTTGAAAGCACAGAAATCTCTCTCATAGTATAATGTAGATATGACTCATTCCTACTCATTGTGTACAGGTAATCAGCAATTGGCTTAAATGTGCAACAGCATTCGCATATAGTTAGTGTTCCTTACTCCAGATGTATTATTATTGTAGGTTCCCATGCAGATTTCTTATCTGCAATAGGTTAGGCTATCACAACTTAGTTCGCTCCAAAACCAACTGTTTGTAAGGCCATTTCAAAATGAAGAAGGATGTGTATCTCAGACACTGAAGCAAGACAAATCAGGAAGCTACTCCATGGTGGAATGCATACAAATGCCTCCTCAAAGATACCATATGCTCTCATTAGGTAGAAAAATATATGGGCACACAGCCTTACAGGAATCTGTCATGGGAGTGAAAAGTTTAATCGCCTTTGGCATGGGCCATGAATGGAAACATAAAACTCCTTTTACACTGTACCACAGGCATGAATGCAGGTATTTATAAACATTTAAAGAGATGGAATTCCATTCATGTATCTCTGCTGTAACATCTAGATTGGCACTGGAGTGCTGGGCATATGTGTTGCTGCATGGCTTGGTTTGCTCATTTCAGGATACAGGCCATGGGGCTAGGCTATTCCTTTTCAGAGAAATACTTCATACATGTGATTCTACCCTCTGGCCATTACATTAATAACAAAGTACTCAGGCTTTCAACCCATTGATTTTTGGCATTTGAAATATAGTATTAATTTCTTTTTTAAAAAGTAAAATAAAAGGTTAAAATACCGATAGCTATAAAACTGCTTAATTTAGAAGGCACCTTTAATTAGCAATCCCTTTTGCTTCCCAAGACATGTTTTCACAAGTTCACTGGGTGGATAAAATCATTAAATCCTAGTGAAACAATCTATGCTTTAAATGTGCAAGTAAATAACTCAGAAGAAGCTACAGAAATTGTAGTATCTGGTGCTTGGAATGGAGTCCTTGCAGAATTCTTCAAAATAAAGGCCACTGAGCATCAAGCAGTCTTGATATTTGACAGCACCTTTTTGCATCTTTCAGATACCCTGATTATTGGAGTGTATCCTTTGCTGCTTGCTTTAGGGATGGGTATGATGGGCATTTTATTTTAATAAAAGCAAGAAAAGGTTGGCTGAAAAAAGGGTGAACTAAGGACATATATAGCTCCTATGCTCCCATTTTGGCCTTGAGCCAGAACTGAGGAAGAGGTACCCAAAAGCAAAATATGCTGTGCACAATCTGAAAGTAATTTCTTCAGTTAATTAGTCTATCAATGCTTACCCTGCAATATGGCTGGAGGATTCACATTGCCTGAATATTACAAGGTTTGTGGGGATCTGCTGACTGAATCAGTGCGACCTGCCAACAAAGATCGTCTGGCTGGAAATGTACCCGAGTTACATATGGAGCATCAAATAGAAGGTGAGAGGGAGGTGGAAGAGATCAGTCATTAAGAAGACGAAATGAGATTACAACCTGTGTGGAAGATTAAAAGGAAAAGACACATACAGGTTTGAATCCCTCAAATTCTAATGCTAGAAACTGAGGAATTAAGAGAGTAAGTAGAGGTGTGAGTATTGAGAGTAAATAGGAGAGTTTGTGGAAGTAAAGTCAACATATTTTGCCATAGATATTGCTGCTCTGGGAAAATTTGTTTATTAATAACTTAAATTTTATCCACATTTCTCACATCTTAGGGTGGTTTCTAGGCATACTTAAAATCTAACAAAATAATCTCTAAAGAAAAAGAGACCCCTCAGCATCTCATTATATAGAGCAGCTTGATTCCAACAACATTCAAGGCCCATTCAGACGTTACCTGTACATGTGTTGCCTTAAGCTGGGTTAAATGATGTGTCTCATGATGGCCCCTGCCCTCTCCCTTCAGAGCTTGCTGGGTTGTATCAGCAAATTGTGAAAGGGTCTTCTACTCACATTCACATTCAGTTCCACACTGTAAGACCTGAACTGACGGAGGGACCCCATGCACTGGGAGTTACAGAGGCAAGTTCAGCTGGCCCCATCCACTTTGAAACTTCATGTGTTCATACAAATGCCTGAACAGATCATAAAAGGTATAGTACTGAATAGACAATAGAACAACCACAGAAGCGTCTCAAAAGATTCACTCAGCAAGTCTGAAAACAAGAAATATTTTCATTATATCTGAAATAATGGTGAAAGTATTATGAGAAAGATATCAGTTTCATGTTGTACTAGTTTAGTTTATATGTCACGTATGGTCAGACTATATTTGTTGCTTTGGCATCTTTCATTTGTGCTTCATTCACATCAAGAACAAAGAATTCAAAGCCAGCATATATGCGAGGTCAAATGCTTATCTGCTCAGCAGTAGCATTCAGATGGCAAAACTGTGTTAGGAATCTTATTTTTATTTTACAGTGGGATAAGAAGGCAGTAGAAGATCTTGGCATGCAATCTCTATTTCCAAAAGGGCTTTTTGTGGGTAGTTAATTTGAACCAGACACGCCTACCATGATGTGTCTATGCAGGTAGGCAAACGTGTGCTGATTGCTGAACAAGATGAACGGTCTGTGATGTGAGAGTGCACATGAGTGATAGTTATGCTGACCATTGACTGTGCATTAAAAAGCCAAAGGGCTTTGCTTGAGCTAGTCCTTGAAACCTGGACAGCAGTAGTAATGAAACAGTGTTGAGTGATGGCTCATTGGCATTATTGCTGTTATTTTTTATTCACATATATATACAGTTTGGTTTTCTGTAAACTTCATAACAGGGCACTTTAGTCCAATATCTAAAGCTAAAATTTGCAAGCTTGTTGTCACAGGACCATA